TCGCCTCGGGTTCCGAGGTGGCGCTCTGCAACGAGGCCGTCGCCAAGCTCTCCGACAAGGGCATCAAGTGCCGTGTCGTCTCGATCCCATGCTTCTCGGTCTTTGACGCCCAGCCCATCGACTACCGCCTTTCGGTGCTGCCCTCGGGCAAGCCCATCCTCTCGGTCGAGGCCTACTCCACCCTCGGCTGGGCCAAGTACTCGCACGCCCAGCACGGCATCAACACCTTCGGCGCCTCGGCCCCCGCCAAGGAGCTCTTCAAGAAGTTCAAGATGACCGGCGACGATGTCGCCGCCAAGGCCCAGCACGTCGTCAAGGTCTTCGAGGGCCAGACCCTCGTCAGCCCCGTCGAGCTCGAGGCCAAGCTCCTCGCCTACTAAATCCGTCTCGATCCCGCCGAGGCTCGTGGTTGATGCCATGCTGCCTTGGACGACTCTCGTGAGACCTTGTGTAACGTTGTAATGCCAAGCTTCAGATGTGTTTCCGAATCCGCTCGTGCGCACGCGTGATTGTCATCGTGAGAATCGAGTTTCGAATGATTGGAGTGAGCCCGCTCGGATGTAGTCTGCCAGGGCAAGCCGAAAGTAGTTGTTGCCATGTGTGCGTTGCGTGACAAAATGAGAAGCAGCAGGCCGAAGAAAGCTCGCCCGTGACTCTGCATGTCGAAACAGGCAAACGCATGCCCTCGACGTACTCCAGATCCGTGCGGTTCAGGGACAGGAGCATACAACCTGTGCTGCAGTAGTCTTCTTGCTTTGGGAACAGGGCGCAGCGGTACAGGTCAGGCTTGAGCTCGGAACGCTCAGCCAGATCCTATTCAGGCAGATGATCGGTGTCACCAAGCCAGCGCAACTTGTCGCAAAGCCAGCTGCCATACCGCACCCCGGCTGGCACCTGGCGCCGATCGCAATACACTCCTGAGGCTCGCGATTGCTTTCAAGGTCTCATCCTGTGTCCTGAATGGGACGTGGTGCATGGTTCATGCTTCATGTTCCGACTTTGACTTTGACTTTGGAGCGTCCCTTTTCGCGGAGGTCGTGGAGCATCACCCGAAAGCGTCCGACAGACTAGCTCTCTGACGAGCAAACTGCAGGCGGTGGAGACGTATAGTTTCATGACTCTCGCGGAGCCTGAAAGACAGCAAGACGCGATATGCACCCACACACAATGCTCGTAACCCGGCTTTCCCACCGTCAGCCATGATTTCCAATCGTCAGGCAGGCAAGATGGTGTGTCGACCCTCAAGCCACGTCCTGGCTGCTGAATCACCCATCGTTGATTCATGGAACCAAAGTACGCAGGTACCCTGAACAAAGCGAGCTGCATCCTCACAGCCACCCGGAAGAACACTTGGGTAGGTTGGCTGAGAAAGATAGCCTCGCCAAGTATCCATTCCGGACTGCTGTTTTTGAAGGCTCGCATCCGCCGCCTTCCAACATGAGTCGTTACAACGAGTATTCCATTGATAACGCCAAAACGTTCATCCTCGTTGCACATAGCTTCACAGACGCCGCATGTCATGAAGAACATGTCACTCGAAGGTCATTAACTTACGTTGAATCAAGCCGCGTGCTTATAAGAGCATGGATCCTGCGGTCGAGGAGGCGTCGACCATTGAAGGTCCCTGGCACAGTGGCGAGCTCTTGGGGCACACTTTAAGGTCCGTCGCCGTCTCATGGACACTGACCTTGTACTTGTCGTCATTGCAGTCATCAAATACCGGCGCAAGTCGAACATTGTTCCGGTCATAAGGCCACGCGGCTCCGATGCGCGACGGTAATTGGTGGCGAGCTAGTGGTGTGCTTTGCGTGCTGGCGGCAGCAGCTTGCCGTTGCGCCGTTCACCCGAAACTGCTGAAATCGTCGTCGTCATCGTCGTCGCTGTCGTGCACTACCATCTCAAGCTCGGGTTCGCAACAGATTGGGAAACGTTTGGCAATCATGATCGGGCATTGCTTTGCCAAAACATGACGAAACAAGTTCAGATCCACCAGTTCATGTTTGTTCTAGTAAGGTATTGTGTCAGTCAGGTGCGCAGCCAATGAGGGGCTGACTAGCCGGCAATCCCAGCTAAGCAAAAGCATTCATATCCTAACAAAACGGTAGCTGGCGAGGGTCAGCCATCCCTCAGCCACCCGGGGTGGCTGCTGGGTGGCTGATTTTGCCACCCGGGGTGGCTGCTGGGTGGCTGACCCTCGCCACCCCCCCCGTCTTTTTAGGATATGATTGAGCATGAAGCATGAAGCAAGCTGCCCGTTCTTTCAAAGGTCACGCGTGTGTATTGCGTGCCGTAGCGGAAGTTAACACATCGTGCTGATTCATGATTTTTCTTGCTTATATTTTTGGCAAAAGGTGCCCGACAATAGTCGCGGGCCGAAATGGTGACTTGCGTTAACGTCGTGATTCATGATTTCAAGATCCACATATTTACTTGGGTAAGATGACTCTAACCTGCCGCAAATCTTGTTTCCCCGGAGAAAATAATATTGCAAACAGTCGAAACCATCAACAATCAAGTTTGTCATGGCTATAATCATGATTCCGTTGAAAAAACGTGAGTGGCCAATCACCGAAACAGGCCCTTTAGTGAAACAAAATTCACGAAAATGGTATGATTACCGGCAGGCCCCTTCGATGCTCCCGGTGACATGATGTGCTCTTGTGTAAGGAGGTCAGTCAATCTTGTTTCACGAATGGGCCACCCACGTTACGTCTCAGCTTGGCGACCGCTTTTTAGGAACCATTTTGCCAGCTACGGACGTCTCCGATGAAGCTGCGACGCGCCAACAAATTGAGGCCGGAGCCTGTTCTGCCATCGACTGCCTTTTGGCCATCGTTGTTTGCTTCACCAACACCACCTCCAGCCGCAAATTCAGCCGCAAATCCAGCCGCAAATCCAGCCGCCACCACCACCACTCAAATCCTAACAAACGGGGTGGGTGGTCGCCACCCACCCCGTTTGTTAGGATATGCCTGCGTGACTTGTTGGTTTCGCGACATGTTCGCCGCTACACGTGGGCCAAAGACGAAAGAATAGCTGTCTCATCAATTTGGGATATTTTCCGTCAAGCTCTTGTGTTGGAATTAGCTGCCTCGATCTTAGCCGGCGAAGTCACGAAACACGCTGTGAATGATCATTGATAAATTATCTCAACGGAAGAGAATGTTGGAATACGGTTTTATAGTCGCAAGTGGAGTCCGGCACCTTTTGGCGGGGTTGGGGAAACAAGAGATCCTACAAATGTTTCGTGAATATCATGCTTCGCGTGCTTGCTGCCATGTAGATTAGAGAGGTGCAATTCAGGAAAGAATCTAAAGCGTGGGCAGCGTTGCGAAGCCAAAAAGTAATACGACAAAGTCGACAAAGGAATTTGTTGAATTAGACGCGGGGTTGTGACACCAATAAAAATCCGCAAATCTTTGATCATGAATCCGGAGAAGTCGCGAGGTGCTTCGCTGGACGGCCGTGCAGCCTCTTTGGGCTTCGGTCCACAAACTGAGCAAGCCTGGGTGGGTCCCTGGCACGACCTGGAGTCATCTCGCCTTTCCGATTGATGATTTATGGAATGATTTTTCCCGAAATGCAATGGACTTCCGAGGACTCCCGAGACCAATTTAAGGCTCCCCGGTGTTCTTGAGGAAGAGGGGGTCCGCGGAAGACGCTGAAGGCTGAGGCGGTGAATCGCGAATCGTGATTTTGTGCTTTATTACATCGCAATAATCTGATCCCCACCTTCTCGACTGGGTCACTCAGCAAGTCCTAGACTTCTGTCAACGGATCCAGAGGAGAACGATCAAAGCGGACAAGTTGACCCAGTCGTTAATTTAACCCTATCATGATGAACTCGTGCCGACCACTTTCCGCCTCATTCACGCGGAGCCCAGCCATCGGCGGACACGTTTCGATTGAAAGATGGCAACTTATGGCTTTTCTGGCTCAGTAAAGCGACATCGTTACGGTGCAGAAGGGAAAAATGCGTGAATTTCAGAGAACAGTCAAGAACACGCATAGCAACGACACCGAACCCGAAACGTAAGTCAGGTTACATGACACGAAACGGGGATGTTGTCAATGCCACAAATTCGGGGTCATTATGGGAACATAATTTGTGGGACCTTGCGCAGCTTTTTCAGATTTCTTCTTTCAGAAATCATATCCTAACAAAACGGTAGCTGGCGAGGAGCAGCCACCCACCAGCCACCCCGGGTGGCTGAGGGGTGGCTGATGATTAGAAGCCACCAGGGGGGGGGTGGCTGCTGGGTGGCTGATTTTCGCCCCCCCCCCCGTCTTTTTAGGATATGAATCGTGAAAATGCACGAATGCCACTGCTTTAAGTTAGCCAGACAGGCCGAATTGGAATCGATTTACACCAGAGAAAATCACCGTATTGCAAACATTAACCGTATTACGAACGTTATTAGCCATGATTTTTGTGTGTCATGGCATGATCAACTTAGCTCATGAATGAACGCTACAAGCATAATTTTATTGGAAAAAGGTCTCACGTGTTGCGAGTCATCGGCGAGCCACCCTGGGCAGCTCAAGGACAAGTTCATGTGAGGAAAGGAAAAGGAAATGTTGCTGCTAGACAGGGCCACCACGTTTGCATCGATTTCGACCGTTCGGCCGGGCGTCTATAGTATTTGGTGGCTCGTGTGGCGACGCACCTCAAGCCTCACTCATGGTGCAGGTTTTCGTTCAAGACTCATGTCACAGCACATGTATTGGCTTGCACGGCTACTTTTCAAAACTTGAAAATTTTGCAGGATGGATCATGGTCGGTCAAATTCTTGCGTAGCTGACCATGCACATCAGCCATGGTGCATGGCCTCCATCAGTGTGAAGGCATCCCCTTCATGCTTCTAACGCGCGATGACTCACGCCCAGTCATGCGAGATCGACCAACACCCAGAGAGCTCGGCCGCGCGCGGAGAGCTCCAGCTTCAAAGCCGATTGCATCTATAGTCAGCTTCGGGTTCAGATCTTGCAAAGCGGGGTGCTTAGAATCCGAACGTGACGTGACGCACCTCTGCTGTCCGGAGCACATCGACTGGTGCTACAAGAGTGTCGTGCACCTGCATGACGAAGGAGCCGAGGGATACGTCTTTTGCTTGACGGCAGCATAGCAATCTGTTACGCCTCAAGGAGACACTGGTCTCCGAGCCGGTACTGCCTCCGGAATACATGATGCGAAGGCGTCAAGAGGGGTCATGCTGACACGTGACTCGAGACGAAGTCCACTTACACGAGTAGACCAAAGTGAGTGCTGGTGTCGGGAAAGAAAGTAGAGTCGATCTGACCACGAGAGTTGCGTCAACAGATTCGTGCAGTGTCAGCACTCGGCACCAGGCACTAGAAAGGATCGGAAAGAGCGGTCGTAAGAACACCTGACAATTTGCTTACCTTCAGACGACCCTTTTCGAGCAGCAGGAAGAGGCAGCCGGCGGGTCGTAGCAAGCGCTTGCGATGAGCGCCGACCAGCTGCAACGACTCCCGGATGTGAACTATGTGTGTCATCAGATCCATGGGCAGAGAGGACATAGGGAGCAAGTCTGCAGCGATCTCGTGGCAAGCGCTGCGATTCGACGACCCGAAGCAGAGTGCAAAGGCTCGGAGATGGACTATCCTCAACGCGCACGCGTCGTCGCAACGGTCAGTGATTGCTTATACCTCAAACTCAAGACAAGATTTTCACTCACTCTTGGCCTCGATGTTGCGGCTCAAGCGCTTGAATCTGCACAATTGGACCAAGCATACGGCAACGTCAGTAGTGCTGAGGTTGAACAGGCATGCGCGGAGCCTCAAAGAGGCCGAAGCTGGCAAAGCATCGGTGTGAGCGGAACTTACAGCGTCAAAGAATGGGAGAGCGTTTCGAGACCGCCTTGACCTGCTCGGCCGAGGTTGAGAATGTGATGCAAGACGGCGTCCGAACGCGCCCTGACTTTGTCATGTGGAAGGGAGTCTGGTGCGGCTGACGGTGTCGCAAGATGATACGAACAGACCTGTCATGTGCAGAAGACAGTGCGCAGATGGTCAGCAGTACTCCGAATGATGAGGCAGCGACGTAAACAGGGCTGTTCTTACCCTTGCTCCGGTATCGAAAGACGATGTCAGACGTAGCGGCAGGTCGTCGTTTGTCAGAAGCATGTTCGCGTGGCCAAGATCGCTGCGTGACCCGCTGAAGCACAGCTCCATCTTGCGGGGACGAGAGGCGGACACCTGTTCACAGGACGGACTGAACGTGTATGCCGTTGAGCATTGAAGGCAAGACGCACTTGTGCAGCGCTCCTTACGATTTGCCATGCCGCAGCGCCGACACCGGAACGCGCCGAAAGTATGCTCCGAGGACTCGAGGTGGATATTCGTGCTGCCATTGGAGGCTGGTTCAAGCTTCGATGCGGGGTCATCGAGTCCGGCCGGCTCTTGGAAGCGATGAAGCTCGAGACGGATGCTTGCTTCGGAGTCCCTCTGTCCGTGGCAAATTGCATGATATTTAGAGAGCGACATCAGTTGAGTCGAAATGGAGAGAAAGGATGCAGGACCCTACAGCCCTCGACTCACCTCGATCGCGACAATGCTCCAGTATCCTGTGAACACGACATCTGCATTTATGATCGAGCCATCCGAGAGACGACAAGGAATTTTGAGATCGTCCCGACGATAGTAGACCCTGAGAGGATAGACGGATGTGCACGCAAATTGCAGCCTTTCGACAACATGGTCCTCTGCATGGACAAAGACGCTACAAAGTCAGCCATTGCCGACCACACTGAATGCGGAAAAACTCAATGTGTAGCGAATGACACGGACCCACGGATCTGTTTCGGGCAGACTGTCAGCGGCGTGATCCCGAAACCCTTTGGAGTGTCCAAGTCTGCGCTCGCTACTCACAAGTTGGCATGAATGCGATCCATCTCGACGGGCACGAGCAGCCTACTCCACGCGAGGGCCAAGGATTGGATGGCGCCCGATTTGGTGACAGAAAAGTCAGCTCCTCTGCCGGGGTAAAGCGAATCATAGGCTTGCATGTCCTCGGACGACGAGGCCCAACACAAGCACTTGAAGCGATGCAGCGTGGCAGGGTTATCCGTGACCTTGGAGGGTTTCGCAGACTCTACATCGGCGGTGGATTCAGCGGGGTGGGCTGTTGGCTCTGTCTTTGGCTCTTCGGTCAGCAGATCGCCGGTCACAACGTCGAAGAAGCTCCAGCGATTGCCCCGGCGGCATTGCAAACCTAGGGAGCGACACGAAGTACAGAAAGGTCTGGTTCTGTCGCAAGCGCTACCGACGCGGTTGCATCTCTCGCAAGACGGGGAGACTGGAGGAGCAGAAGCTTCAGCTGAAGTTGACTGGGATGTGATGGACCGATCGGTAGCTTACCCAGGAGAAGGTCGGATCGGTATGGATGTAGGTGGATCTCGGCGCGAGATATAGAGGAGGGGACGCGAACGGCCAAATCGGAGGACGCCTGTCGAGTCGCGACGTCGAGGAATGGCTCGTAGCGTGGGACAGGAGTGACTGGCGTCTTTGTGCGGGCTCCGCTTGGATGGTTGCCGTTGCGCTGGTTGCCAAGTCCATGATGATGCCGACGTCCGTTGACAATGAATGTGGGATGTGCTGATTTGCGTTGACAGTTGGTACCTTGTGTCGAGCGCTCATCCCAAAAGCGCGCGGACGACGGCCTGTGCCTCATGGCGGTGATGAGCTTTTACTGGCCGAGCAAGGTGCGCGGCGCAGGCACCATGGTCGAGCAGCACGTCTTTGGGCGCAAGTGGTGTGTGTGATTGATCCAAGAAGCCTGTCCGCTTCTGAATTGTGATTTCATGCAGAAAATCCAGGGTCGCGGCGCCGTTCCTACTTTGGCGGCATCCGCGGGTCGGTATCGCCGTGAGCCGCGGCAAGGGTTGAGGAGACCCTCAAATTCCGTGACAGCCGTCGAGTCTAAAATCCGTCCGTCGGTCCAACTTGTGGAGCATCGGTCGTCTGATTAGATTGCATGGAGCTTCTCGAATCCGATAAAAGCCAAGGCTGTCTACGCCGAGCTCGCCTCCCCGCTGCACCCAACTCCAAATCCACCACAACATTGATGGCAACACCAGCAGCTCGATTGGCCCTCTCCATTCTCTTCTCGCTGCTCGTCGCCTTGGCCTCTCACCGATTCGTCAGACGCTCCTCGTCCTGCCCCAATTTCGATCCCATCTCAACAATGGTCACCGCTACAAAGGCTCCAGTCTTCTTCATCAGCCATGGAGGACCGCCCAGTAGGTACACTTAGATCGCTATTCAAGCGGCATTGTAGTTTTTTTTTTTTTTTTTAACTTGACGCTCTTTTTCGGCCTGTGGCGCAAAAGCCATGTTTCAACCTGAGCACCCCGCCTATCAGCACTGGCGTAGATGGGGGAAACAAGTGCGGGAACTTCACCAGCAAGGCGTCGTTCGAGGGCTTGTCTTCGTCAGTGCTCATTGGCAAGCCGAAGATCTCGACCAAGGTGTATATGGTAGGTCCTCAGCCACAGCAGAGTCTATCTCAGGTGCACGCCCGTATCTCGACCCTGACATCCTTCTTGACCTACTTATGTGCCTCTGACAGTGAACGTCGACGAGCGAAACCCTCTCGTCTACGACTTCTACGGATTTCCGGATCATTTCGTACGTCCCTCCTTGCACACATACATCCAATGTTGCCTCCTCCTCTTTGCCATGGTCCTCTGACCAAACATCCGGCTGCACCCATTACAGTACAAGCAAAAGGTGGAATCTTCCAACCCCTCCAACGTCTCCGCACTCGTACTCGAGCATCTGCGTCAAAGTGGCGTTCAGGCGCTTCCCGTGAAGCGCGGCATTGACCACGGCGTATGGTGTCCTCTCAAAGTTGCATTTCAGAAACCATTGCTCGAGGACCTGCCGTCGGACAACGCCGAATCGCAACCAGCGTCGATCAACGATCCCTCCCAGCTGCCTCCCGCCCTGTCTCTGACTCAGCTCTCCTTGCCTGCCTCAGATGCCTCTCTGGACTCCTTGAAGCTCGGTGCTGCACTCCGCAGGCTTCGCGATCAGGGCTTCGCCATCGTGGGCGGCGGTATGTCCGTGCACAACCTGCGCGAGGCCATGAAGGCTTTTGCCCTGGTCGGAAGGGGCTTCGGCGCCCTGCAGCCCACTCCCTACTCTTCCAGCTTCCTGAGCGCGCTCACGGAGGCTATGACGGCTCCACCTGCATCGCGAGACGAGGACAAGTGGGCCAAGGCCATCAATCTCGACAAGAGACAGGACTTCCTGCCATCGCATCCCACTCCGGAACACTTCCTGCGTACGTTGAGCCCGCCGACTGGTTTCCCATTGCACCGTGTCACTGGCTAACAAAATGAGGGCCCGCCCCTTTCCCATCTCGCCTTTAGCCGCGCTCGTGGCACTGGGAGCTGCACACTCCGACGAGCAAGGCACCGAAACCTTTGCACTCGACGAAGGCCCCATGGGTTGGTGAGTCTGCTTCAGCTTCCGTGTTTCTCTCGATTGGATCGTCCTGGCTCACACACATCGGAGGCCTCGACCTGCGCTCTCTACGATTACAGGAACATGTACAGGTGGGGATGAGCGCAGACCAACGTGAAGACATCTATCGAGCTGGTTCGTCCTGAAGCGCAAGCTTTGCGCGCCTGCGATCTTCATCGTCCTTCATGTCGCGCGCTGCTTGATCATGCAGGCCCGCGGCTGCGCTCTTTGCCTTTTCTGCACTGCCTTCTTTTCCGACCCTATTGGCACCAAATTGAACGATCTTCTTCCATCGCGCGCGGATGTCTGACGCCATCTCCACAAGCGCAAGCCCTCGGTAAAAGTAGACGAATGACCACCATGCGCGGAAGTAGTCCTTCCACAGCGAGAGCGATGTGAGCAGGCTCGCGCGGCCACTCGCCCGACGCTCTTTGAGCTGCTTCAGATCGTCACGGTAGACCGCCAGTGCGCAGAGGCGAGCGGCGATGAGGAAAGGTCGAGTCGGGCCATGTGTAGTGTGGAGACTTGCGTCGAGTGAGCGGGTGAGGTCGTTGAGCTTGAGCACCATCAGCATGCGGCGCGGAAGACGACGGAGCAGGTCGAGGATCGAGAGAAAGAGGCCCTCCTTCTCCATGACCGTCTTGCGAATGTGCTCTTGTTCGTCGTCGGAAAGATTGCTACCGCCATCCATGTCCAGGAGACTTCCTGCGCGGTTGCGATCCTTGACGCCGAGTGGGTTCTTCGGGTCGCTACCTTCGAGGCCGGCTCTGCCAGTAATGGCGCTCTCCAAGATCGGGTAGAGGTCGTCATCGATGTTGGCAATGAGCTTTGCATACTTGCGTCGCTCTGCCGTCACTTCCGGGCTCGCACGCTTGAGGAGCGAAAGCCAGAAGCGAGCGTAGTTGGCGCGAAGCTGCGGGTCGATGTCAAAGTAGAGACCGTGATCGAGAAGGACGACTTCAAAGTTGTAGCGCGATCGACTGCCTGGCGGTGCGGGACGGATGAGAACATTGCCACCGTGAGGGTCGGCGTGGAAAAAGCCGTGCAAGTAGAGCATCTGGGAGAAGACGCGCGAGAGTTCCTGGCTGACCCTGTTACGGTCGATGTCGTGCTCGGCAAGGTAGCGCAGGTTGTCGGGTCTGCGGCCATCGATGAACTCCATGGCCATGACACGCTTGAAGACATACTTGACCTTGGGGATGTAGACGGACGTGGTTCGATAGGCGGCAAAGTCATCCTCTGCCCTCTTGGCATTCTGTGCTTCGTGGCGGAAGTCCATTTCGAGCGGCATGTTCTCGTTCATCTCGTCTGCGAGCCACTCGAAGCTGAAGTCAGGAAGAAGACGCTTGACCCACTTGACGAGCACTGTGACCGTCTTCATGTCGACTTCGGAGAAGCGTTCGACGTCCGGATGCATCATCTTGAGCGCGAGCTGCTGGCCCGTCTGTCGATCCACCGCACGATGCACCTGTGCGAGCGAAGCAACACCGATGGGTTTGGGGTCGATCTCGCTGAAGGCCTCGTTGAAGCTCATGCCTGTTTCGGTCCTGAACATGGCCTCGAGCTCGGGCAAGGGAGTCGGGGTGTTCTGGTCCTGCAGAGGTCGCAGAGTGGTTGTCCATTCGGGTGGCAGCAGGACAATGGCGGAAAGATGCTGGCCAAGCTTGACGTAGAGGCCGCCGTTGGTCTGCAAGGCAGCAAGGATGCGATGAGCCGAGCGCAGATGGCACTGGCGCAGCTCTTCGGTCTCTTCTTCGCGCGAGGAGTAGGTTTTGTTGAGGGTGGAGCGGTAGTCCCAAACGCAGAGGGCGACGGCCTTGGCGATGGTGGTGGAACGGGTGAGTGCGAGTAGGGCGAAGTTGGTGCTGTTGGCCTGAGACTTTTGAGCCTCGCGAACCTGACGCTCCATCTCATCATGGGGCAGCTGCAGTCCCCGGATGGGCGGCTGCGAGCCATCGAGATGGATAGTGTCCTGCAGCTGATACCCGACAGCTCCGACGAGGATCAGCACCAGTAGCGCCACTCCGACGCGGCGGCTGTTGCGACGAAACTGGGCATGGGCTGCGGCGGTCTCCTTTGGATTCGGGATGGCGGGCTGATCAAAGTTGATGGGCTTGGGCTGCGGGCGAACCGGCGGATACTGCTTTCGGAAGGGTCTGTTGTCGGCGGACTTGCCTGAATCAGAAGCGTCCGGTGACGAGGAGGGCGCGCCAGGTGACGTCGGCCTTCTCGAATCCGCGAGCGGGCCGAGGGTGGAGAAAGGCTTGATGTTTTGCCAGTGGCTGCTCTGACCGCTCCGAGAGACCACTGTGTTGGTGCACAGATGCAGCGACCGCGACGGAAGCCAACAGTGTGCGCTCGACTGCGGACGCCTCAGTGCTGCGGATGCAACGGAGCGAGCCGTCGTCGCGTGCAGTCCGAGCATGGCGGCCAAGACGTGTCGCACAGCGTTCGGAGGGCGAGCTGGCTGTTGTTGCGACGCGGAATCCTTCTAGAAAGTCACCAAGGCGAGCCGTGACTGCCTAAAGTTGTCCCTGCGTGGCTGTGAGCGCCGTAGAATATGCGTATACCTAGAGTGATGCCGTGTGGATGGAGTATGCGTGGGTGACGGTGTCAGAAGCGCTTCGGTGATCAGGTCCGACTGTGTCGGCAGCGCCTGCTGAATGCTCCGCTTTCCGAAATCTTGGCGAGCCGGCGTTGCGGTCATCGCCATCGCACCGAAAAGTGGAGTGTCGAAGCTGAGCCGGTTTGGGTCGGAATCGCTTCGCTTTCGAAAATTTACATTTGTCGATGGCAGATCGAAGGAAACGCACAAAGTTGAATTCAAAATCCTCTATCCGAGATTCGGACGAACAAATCCGACTATGATGCTCGCCCAGAAGCGGCAAAAGTAGCAGGCCGACGCAGCGGCAAATGCAAAACCGGCCTTACATGACACCCAATAGCCGACAATCGAAGAGGATGCGTTTCGAAGGAGGCATCGAACGGATCCGCCGGCTGCACAGCGTGGTCGGCAGGCACTACGTCAAGTCCGCGGCGATGGCATCCCCTTTCGTCACTTGCAGCCGACGTCGGCACCGTTGTTGGCGAGCCGTTGCTGCACTCGCCTTGTGACTCCCTTGCACCACCGAGTCACTCGAACGTCCTCCAGACTGACTTCCACCATCGATGGATCGAGCATGATATACGCCAAGCGCACTCCTCTCCCGTCTGCACCGACAATTTAAAGGAGGTGACATGGGTCCACAAGATCCCTCATAACACGACAGGAAGCTAGCATTCCTGATTGCCTCACGTCGCCACAATTACTTTTCGACGTTGTGACTGGGCTCAGAATGGCTATAAAGGACACATCCACATCTGTGCGCCCGGCTGGTTCGCCAATAGATGACGAAACACCCGAGGAGACACCGGCAGGTGAGTACCGTGCTGTGCCTGCAAACTGTGCTGGCGGCTGTTGACATTGAACCCTGCGTCTCCCTTGGAACGTGCAGAAACATCGCGCCATTCTCTCAGCGTGTCGCTGCACTCTGATCACAGTGATGCCGATGCTCGAGGTCTCGAAGCGCAAGAAAGGGCGGGAGAAAAGGCAGCGCCGACCCCGGCAGAAGCCGAGGATGCGGACCCAAACCTCGTCACTTGGGATAGCCCCGATTCTCAGGAGAATCCGCGCAACTGGTCCAAACGCCACCGCTGGGCGGTCACGACGCTGGTTTCCAGCTACACGTTTCTCAGCCCGTTGGCGTCGTCGATGATCGCGCCGGCGCTGCCGCTATTGAGCGAGGAGTTCAACGTGCACTCGAGCGTACGCGAGAGCATGATGCTCTCGACGTTCGTCTTGGCTTACAGCTGTGGTCCATTGCTACTGGCGCCCTTGACCGAGATGTTTGGACGAAGGGTGGTGCTGCAAACCACCAACCTCATGTTCATTGCCTTCAATCTGGGATGTGGCGCCAGTCAAAATGCGGCGCAGCTTACGGTGTTGCGCTTCTTCGCGGGTCTTGGTGGCTCAGCACCCCTGGCTGTGGGAGGCGGCACGATCGCTGATCTGTTCGAGCCAGGAGAGCGCGGCAGCGCCATGGGAATGTACAGCCTTGCGCCGCTACTTGGACCGGCGATTGGGCCGATTGTGGGTGGGTGGATCGTGCAGGAACTCGGTCAGTGGCGATGGATCTTCTGGGTCTCGTCGATCTACGGCGGTCTCACGGCCTTTATCGGGCTGTTCCTGCTGCCGGAGACGTACGCACCCGAGATTCTCAAACGCAAAGCGCGCAAGCTGAGGAAGGAGACGGGCAACGAGCAACTGCACACCATCTACGAGAAGCAAGATTCGTCCAAGTGGTATTTGCGATTACGCCACAACCTGGTGCGCCCGTTTGTGCTGCTCACGACGCAACCCATCATCCAGGTGTTTGCAGTGTACATGGCGATTCTGTACGGATGCATGTACATCCTGCTCACGGTGTTCCCTCAGGTGTTCGGCACGATCTACAACGAAGAGCCGGGCATCGCATCTCTTAACTACATCTCCCTGGCGATCGGATTCACGATTGGCGGACAGGTGGGCGGAAGGGTGGTCGACTATTCGTATCGCACGCTCAGCGCACGAGAGGCCGACGGCAAAGGACGGCCCGAGTTTAAGCTTCCGCTGCTCATGGTGACCTCGTCACTGTTCCCCGCTGGGCTGCTCATCTACGGCTGGACGGCGGCTTATAAGGTGCACTGGATCGCGCCCAACATTGGCGCAGCATTGTTCGCCGCGGGAGCGATGGGCACGTTTCTGGTGTGCCAGGGATATCTGGTGGACGTGTTGCCGCTGTATGCTGCGTCGGTGCTGGCCGCAGCGGTGCTGGTGCGCAGCTTGGGCGGCTTCGGCTTTCCGCTCTTTGCGCCGACCATGTACGAGCGGCTGGGTCAGGGATGGGGGAACACCGTGTTGGCGCTGGTGTCGGCGGTGATTGGCATACCGGCTCCTTGGGTGCTATTCCGCTACGGGCCCTACCTTCGAGCCAAGAGTCGGTACGCGGCGGAAAATCCTGCGGCGGCTCGGATGAAGTAGAGCGTGGTTGTCTCTCACCACCAACATTCTTGCTTAGAAACACTTGCACATGTGAAGAAGAGGAAGTTCATATTGCCCTGGTTTCGATGGTGTGCCGATTGATCTCCCGATTTCTGCTGGCTACTCGATCGAAGGCGAGGAAGCCGGGGCAGAGGATGGGTCTTGGTGTCTTGGTCCATGGAAGGCGCGAAGCGAGCCGCGCGCTGGAGCCAAGCGGCTGCGAGCCGAGCCGAGCTGAGCTGGCACCGCACGGCCAACAAGCTGTATTCTGAACGCCGAAGCCTCCCCCTTCGCCACACCGGTTTGCGCTGTTGCAAATCCGGTCGACGAAAATTCCGCTTTGTCCGTCGAGCTGGCAGGCGCAGCCTCGGCTTGCCGCCGCCGCTCTCGCCTTTGCCCTGCCAAATGAAGGACCTGATTAGGGTGAACCAAGCTCACTGACTGCCCTACACTGTGCCAGCCGCAGGATTGAGCCTGTGCACTGCCCTACCTCTCGGAGCTTGTTCTCCGACCTTGTGTTGTGTTGGTGGCTCTGCACGGGATAGCGCGGCCCACGCTAAGCTGCACGTCGCCGCGCGGGCAGCAGAAGAAAGCTGCATCGATGGCTCGTGAAAGCTGTGCGGTGAGCGGAGCCTGACTTGCGGCACGCAGGCGAGGGTTTGAGCAAGCCTAAGGTTGCGAGGGCGAGCTGCGCAAAAGCGATGTTGTGGCAAAGCGAGGGGGAGGGGGAAGGCACGGGTCGGGCTCAAGCGAAGACTCGGATGCAGTGCGGGGTGCATTCATCTGGCCACCTCTGCAGGCACCTTTGCAGGCACCTCTGCAGGCATCTCTGCAGCCAGAAGAGGGCGGGGTAGCGAGACAACAATAAGGACCCGTCCGTCCAGCCCTGCATTTTCAATTTCTAATCCACAGAGGAGAGAGTGCCGTTTCGCCTGCGATGCGCTGGTCTGTGCTTTTTGAGCCAAAGTGACAGGGCAGGGTCTTGTGGGGAAACCCCGCTCTTTTCCCTCTCCCTCTCTCTCTCTCCAATCGGCTCAGTCTGGTTCGGCGACGAGCTCTCTCTTCTTCTCTCTTCTGCCGCTCAGTTTGGCGCGCGCGCGCAAGACGGGTCTGCCTTGGCCTTGGTCTTTGCCTTGCCCTGGACGCCACGCATGCATGCATCCAACCCACCCTCTCGAGCCCGTCTCGAGTCGGCAGGCCCATCTAGCCGCCACCCGGTGAGCCTCGCTCCCGTGTCGCGCTCCTGAGCCACTCGCACCCGTCCCCTTTAAAAAGATTCCTCCCCTCCTCCTTCACTCCGTCTCTCCGACACGCTTTGTGAACTTCATCACCCTCCCCCCCGTCTCATCTCGATCTATCGCTCGCAGGTCTTCCCCAGTCACTTTTCCAACGTATCGATACCACACTCACTCTCTCCCCCACACACACATCCCACAATGTCTCGCGTCGTCGTCGTCGGCGGTGGTCTCTCCGGCCTCAGTGCCGCTCACACTCTCTACGAGCGCGGTGCCAATGTGCTCGTCCTCGACAAGAACGTAAGTCCTCTACATTCCCTGAAATCGCCTTTACCCCACAGATATCGGAGACTGACTTGATTGCTGGCGTTCCGCTCTGTGTGACATCAGCCCTTCTTCGGCGGTAACTCGACCAAGGCAACCTCCGGTATCAACGGCGCCGGCACCACCACCCAGGCCGAGCAGGGCATCCCAGATTCCGCCAAGACCTTCTTTGAGGACACCAAAAAGTCGGCTCGTGACCTTGCCCGCGACGACCTCATCAAGGTGCTCACCGGCAAGTCCGGCGAGGCCGTCAACTGGCTCATGGACCGCTTCGACCTCGACCTCAGCAAGGTCTCGCGTCTCGGCGGTCACTCGCAGCCCCGTACCCACCGTGGCGGCGCCCAGTTCCCCGGCATGACCATCACCTACGCTCAGATGGAGAAGCTCGAGGACCTCGCAGAGGCAGAGCCCGACCGCATCCAGATCCTCCGCAAGGCACGCGTCACCAAGCTCATCCACCAGAACGGCGAGGTCACCGGCGTCGAGTACGAGTACCAGGGACAGACCCACAAGGAGGACGGCCCCGTCGTCCTCGCCACCGGCGGCTACGCAGCCGACTTTGACGACGTCAACTCGCTCCTCAAGAAGTACCGCCCCGACCTCGTCCACCTCCCCACCACCAACGGCGACCACTGCACCGGTGACGGCCAGAAGATGGTCGCCTCCATTGGCGGTCGTCTCATCGACCTCGAGAAGGTTCAGGTCCACCCCACCGGTCTCGTCGACCCCAAGGAACCCGACGCCAAGGTCAAGTTCCTCGCCGCAGAGGCCCTCCGTGGCTGCGGTGGTCTGCTCATCGACAACGAGGGCAACCGTTTCGCCGACGAGCTCGGCCACCGTGACTACGTCACCGGCCGCATGTGGGACAACAACAAGTTCCCCGTGCGCCTCATCCTCAACGAGCAGGCCTCCAAGGAGATCGAGTGGCACTGCAAGCACTACGCCGGCCGTGGCCTCATGAAGCGCTTCGACAGCGGTGACGACCTCGCAAAGGAGATGGGCATCCCCGCCGACAAGCTCAAGAGCACCTTCCAGGACTACGAGGCCATCGCAAAGGGCGAAAAGAAGTGCCCATGGGGCAAGAAGTTCTTCTCCAACTCGGACCTCCGCATGAACCAGGCCTTCTACGTCGCTCTCATGACCCCCGTGCTCCACTACACCATGGGTGGTCTCGAGATCGACCCCGAGTCGCGCGTCATCGACAGCCAGGGCAAGCCCATCCCCGGTCTCTTCGCCTGCGGTGAGATCGCCGGTGGTGTCCACGGCGCCAACCGTCTCGGCGGTTCGTCGCTCCTCGGCTGTGTCGTCTTCGGCCGTGTGGCCGGTGACTCGGCCTCGAGCTACCTGCTGCGCAACCTTGCCACGGGCAAGGCCACCGCCCGTCTCGGCCAGATTGCCAACCACCTCGAGACGCGCGTTCGCGCCGACCCCAACTCCAAGACCATCACGCTCGAGTTCGGCTTTGGCGACGGCGCCTCGTCGGCCTCGAGCGTGCAGCAGCAGAACTCTGCGCAGCCTGCCGCCGTGGCCCAGGGCCAGCCCGCTCAGACGGACAAGGCGGTGCAGCAGTCCGGCAGCGCCGCTGCTGCGCAGCAGACCATCGAGGAGAAGGAGTACACTATGGACGAGGTCGCAAAGCACACCACCGAAGACGACGTCTGGGTCGTCGTCGAGGGCCAGGTGCTCAACGTCTCGGGCTTCCTCGATGACCACCCGGGCGGAAAGAAGGCCCTTATGCTCTACGCCGGCCGCGACGCCACCGAGGAGTTCCTCATGCTCCACGACCGCAAGGTCATCCAGAAGTACGCGGCCGACACCGTCATTGGCCGTGTCAAGGCTTGATCTCCCCCTTCCATTGTTGATTGATGTTCCGGCCGATGTGGCAACAAATTCATGATTTGCCTCCATACGAGAGCCGGTTTTGTGTCGATCGTTTTCCGCGAAGCCATCTTGAGTCGACGGGGCCGTGCAGTGACAGTCGGACGTGCACGTGCGCATGCACGATCATTGCGGAGACGGCCATCACCCATGCTTCACAGACATGACGGCGAACAGAAAGAACAAGATTTGTCAAAGCATAACTTAGAATACAGATTGGCAGATGGTGGGCTGGCAAAGCAGATCAGAGCGAGAATCCCATGTCGCGCTCCTTCTTGCGGTCCTTTTCCAGTTTCTGTTCGAGCTTGGCAAACTCGTCGAGTGCGATTTCCTCCTCTGGGTCGAGCACCTGTTCGACGCCATTGACCTCAGGGATGTAGTGCTTGAGCATACGTTCGATGCCGGACTTGAGAGTGACGGTGGACGAGTCGCAACCACGGCAAGATCCTTTGAGCTTGACCTTGACGATTCCGTCCGTGTCTTCTCCGAATCCGCGGTACTCGAGGTCGCCTCCGTCCTCCTGGATCGCCGGACGCACACGCGTGTCAAGAAGCTCCTTGATCATGGCCACGACCTCCGAGTCTGTCTCGAGGATCACGGTGTCGCTCGAGCCATGCGACGACTCGGGGTCGGTGAAGAGCGGGTGACCGGCGGTGAAGAACTCCATGATGCTCGAGTAGATCTCGGGCTTGAGTGTCGACCACTGGTGCTCTGCATCCTTGCTGACCGTGACAAAGTCGGGACCGTAGAAGACGCCGACGATGCCGGGGATGTTGAACAGCTTCTTGGCGAGTGGCGAGGCCATGGAAGCACGTGTATCGAGGAACTCGTGCGTGCCCGACTCCATCACCTGTCGACCGGGCAGGAACTTGAGCGAGTCCTCGTTGGGTGTCGACTCGGTCTGAATGAACATCGTTCGCCTCTGCATCGAGAGAACGGGTGATGCACGTGTCAGCGCAGAAGCACGCAGTGCAGACGTTGACGCCGTCATCATGGATCGTGCGAGCGGAACGACGCTTCTGCGGGCCACAGCGACAGCGGCCCGGCTGCCAGATGCAACAGCTGAGGTCGTAGAGGCTGCACGCAGCAGCGAAACGCTTGTCCTTGTAACACCCGTCATCTTGCGAATGAGAGAGTGGTTGGGATAGTTTGGTGGTGTGCGCAGAAGAAGTGGAGTTAGAGGTGGCGAGTCGGTTCTCGTGTCCAACTCAGCAGCGGCGGCGGCGGCAGCAGAATTCGAGCATCGGACTTTGAGCGGCTGAGTAAGCATTAGCAATATCAACGAAGAGCGAGCGGGGCAGCTCAGCGCGCCCAGGCTGTCGATTTTCACGGGTTTTCCGGCTGTAACTCGACCCGATGGAGCCGAGCCAAGACGACGATGCACTGGAAGTGGTGGTGACATGCGGATCCCCCGCTTAGGCCACCCTACTTAGCGCCGGCAGGATCTTCTCGCTCCTCTCGTTGCCACAAGCTCTTCTTTCAAGTGAACCACCATCTCTATCTCCGAGCACTCAACTCAGTTCTTTCGATTGCTTTTGATATCCCCAAGATGCTGGCTTCCACTGTCCGAACGGCCTTGCGCACGAGCGCGCCGCGTGCGACTCTGCCCTCGACACGCTCGCTTTCGACGTCGCTGCCGCGCCTGTCGGCCGCGGCCGCCAAGGAGTACCAGAACATCCTCGTGTCGTCGCCAGCCAAGGGTGTCACGCTCATCACGCTCAACCGACCCAAGGCGCTCAACGCGCTCAACTCTGCACTCTTCCACGAGCTCAACGAGGCGACCGAGATTGCGGACAACAACCCAGAGGTGGGCGCGATCGTCCTCACCGGCTCCGAAAAGGCGTTTGCTGCCGGCGCCGACATCAAGGAGATGAAGGACAAGCAGTACGCTGATGCATACAAGACCAACTTCCTCGGCCACTGGACCAAGCTCACCACGGTGCGCAAGCCCATCATTGCCGCGGTGTCCGGATTCGCGCTCGGCGGCGGCTGCGAGCTTGCCATGATGTGAGTCCGCCCTTTCTCTTTCTCTGACTCGACAGAATCGGCTACTGACGCGGACGCACGATGTTTGATGCGCAATCCACAGGTGCGACATCATCCTCGCCTCGCCCACGGCCAACTTTGGCCAGCCCGAGATCAACCTCGGTGTAATCCCCGGAGCCGGCGGCACGCAGAGGCTGACCAAGGCGGTCGGCAAGTCGACGGCGATGGAGATGGTGCTGACGGGCCGCAACTTTTCCGCCGACGACGCCGAGAGGCGCGGCCTGATCTCGCGCGTGGTGCGCGAGGGCAGCGTGGTGGACGAGGCGGTCAAGGTGGCCTCGACCATTGCCAAGAAGGGCCAGATCGCCGTTCAGGCCGCCAAGGAGGGCGTCAATGCATGTAAGTCGCGACCCTCATTCGCAGACTCTGGCCGAAAAAGTGCCCATCGCTGACTGTCGTCCTCTTTCCTTTCCTTGACCCGCCTATCGATGATGTTCTGCTCTGATGATGGTGTGCGTGACGCCAGCCTTCGAGCTTTCGCTGCAAGAAGGCACTCGCTTCGAGCGACGCCTCTTCCAGAGCCTCTTCGCCACCAAGGACCAGAAGGAAGGCATGGCGGCCTTTGCCGAGAAGCGCAAGGCCAGCTTTACGCACGAGTAAGCAAGAAGATGCCCATCGATCCTCGCCGACATTGTTGCGCTGCTGCTGGTTCGGCAATTCCTTCCTTGTAGCTCGCCTTGGACACACTTTGGGCCTTGCTAGCCAGACAGTGCGCAATCCCCTCCTTTGTTAGCACCTTTGTCGGGTCACGCGATCCGCTTGCGGGGTGGATGAAATTTCGAGAAAGCTCCACATTTTTTGGGCGTGACTTTGAAGAGAGGAGTGGTGTGATGGACCCTAATCAAGGTTTCTCTGCGGGCGCGAGGCGAGTGTGACACTGGCGCCACTCTCACTCTGCATGCAGGGTTGTGGTTCGTGTGCCGTCGAGTTGTGCGCACGGTCTCGTGAGGAGAGTGGGGCGCCTGCGGTCACACGGGCCGGGACTGTGCTGCTTTCTCGCCTTTGCTAGCCTGCTTTGAGACTAGCTGGAATGGCGCAACCGTGGGACGCTGAGTGAGACAAAGCTAGCCCTGAGGCACGGGGTGGCCCATGCTCCCGAGTCCTAACCTCATGCTCCCAAACTGGCGGAACACTCCCCCCGCTGCGCAATGAAGCTGGCCCCACCGCATGGAGCTATAAAGTCTTCCTGCTTCACATCTGGCTCTGCCCCGTCCTGACATCCATCGACATAATCGGCCTTCTTTCTGCTGTTGATTCTTATCCTCGCTACACCGCCTATCATGTCGACCAAGCCACGATCCGACTCGTCCACCTCGACGTCGTCGACATCGTCGACCTCTTCGGACCCGTACGCCAATGCTTCGGTGTTCCGCAACTCGCCGTCCTACAAGGCCGAACAGCTGGACGATCTTTCGCACGGATCCACCTTCAAAGCTCGTCGCTGGTCGGGCGCCAAGAAGAACCCGGGCGAGGGAAGGTCGCACTTTGAAATGCGCATCAACGCCAGCGACCAGACCAAGCTCAACCGAGACGAACTCAAGGTCAGCGTCAAGAAGAACAAGGACCTCACCACGCGCATGAAGAAGAACCACTCGCCACAACAGGCCGCTCAGGTCTACGACGCCATCAACCGCGAGTAGATAGGCACCAACAGTCCCAACCATTGAACCGCAAACCCCACAAAGTCAAGTCCCCAGCCTCGCACTCGTGTGTTCCAAGATCCAGTCCGCATTCCCGCATTCACTGTATTCCTTCCCGCTCTGTACCCTTCTCGCAGCAAGTCAGCCTCGTGATCAGTCGTCAACAAGAGCGCCCCGATGGCAGAGTATTGAGCTGGATCCGAGTGAGGAGTTGAGATTCGGCTTGGATGGTGAGAATGCTAGTCCAGCTCGGCGTAGAAGCCGCTCGCGTTGAGTCGGCACAAAAGCACTTCGACGCTCGAGGCGCCATCGCCGTCGATGCCTTGCGTGCTTCTGCCCGCTGCATCCACGTCGAGCCGCCTCAGGTCCTCGAGCTCGTCGAATGCCAGACGCGCCTTTTCGCTTTCGACGTCCTGCCGTCTCTTAGCCAGATCCCGTCCACTCGCCGCCTCATCTGCATGAGATTCAGGATGCAAGTTGGACGGCCGACGGTCCTTGAGCATCGCCAGCGCATGCACCAACGTGTCGATGCGCTTGCGGAAGTAGACATGCAGCCGATGGAAGTCGTCAAACGTCGGCGTCTCGACCGAGGGCGAAGCGGGCGTGTGGAAGTCGACGCACAGCTGTGCAAAGTCGAGCACCGTCTGCAGCAGGTCGTGCACCACACGCAGCACGCCGCGCTGCTTAGACTTCAGGAAGCACGTCGACAGCATGCGGTCAAGCACACGCTCGTGATACCGCGCCAGCGAGAAGACGTCCTTGAGCTCGAGGCTCGACGTCATCAGCGCTGCTTTTTCCTCCTCCTCGAGCGCCTCGTCGTCCAGATCCTCGTCGCTCTCGCCGTGTCCGTCGCCGGTCCTCGCCGCAGACGTGCGACGCGAGGCAAGTTCATCCGACACTTCGACGCGCACCCTGTCGAGCCGCTGCATAAAGCCGTTCCAGTGCATCTCGATGCCAATCTCGTTGACAAACGAGCCGTACGTGTCGAGGAAATGATTGAGCTCCCATCGGAACTGCTGCATGAGCGAGCGCGTCCGGAAGTCAAATGTGAACGCTGCACTGGTCGACTTGAAGGTGCACTGCCATGCTGTGCGCATGGCCACCTTGCACCTCTTGATGCGCAGCAGCAGGTTCCACAGACGCTGATACCGAGACTGGGCCAGCTGCGTCAGCAGCGGTGAAATGAGCGGCGGCGGGTGGAAGGACAATGTGAGCCAGTCGAGTGCATCGATCGAGCTGGGATCCGACCACGTTGGTGCGTTCTTGCCCGACTTCTGTCCGCCGCTTGAGGAGGCAGCGGATCGCGGCTCGACCACGGCGAACGACAGCCGCTCGTCGAGATCCTTGAACGCAAGTGAAATAGCATCCTCCGTTCCCGCGTGCCGGTGCGACCTGGTCAGCCGATCTTGATGCGCCTGACGCATGCTCGATACCGTCTCAATGACGGCCGTATTGAGCGCCGATGACAGCAGGCTGTCGTTGGGGGGCCAGACACCTTCAGCAGTCAAGCGCCTGTTCATGGCAACGACTGCGCGTCCGCGAGCTGACTTGGCCTCGGCCTCATCCAACACGCTGACCTGATCGACATCGAACAGGCTCGAGATCACCTGCCGCTCGAAGAGCGCATTGCCGAGCAGAAGGAACTGCTTGCACGTCTCGAGGTATGTGCCGAGCCCAAGGTCCTGGAAGAAGACGCTGATGAGAGACATGTTGATCAGCCGCGCCCAGCTCTCGAACGGCGCCACCAGACAGCCCTGCGTTGCTCGATCGAACGACACGTGCGAGATGGACTGGCTCTGAGACGGAGGACAGGCAGCTTCGGCGAGGTAGAGAAGCAGGCGGGTTTGCTCGTCGACTTCGTCTTCATCCGCTTCGTTGTCTTGCTGCTGCTGCTCTGCGTCCAGCGAAGACTTTCCTGCGGCGGTTGGTTCTAGGACGCCAGGGAGAGCGGAAAAGAGCTGCGACATGCGTGCAAAGTAGTCTTCGCTCGAGTAAACATCCCTCGCGTCTTGAGGAGCTATGCTTCCGTGCACTATCTCGGCAGTACCCTCAGGATGCAGTTGAGGCAAATGAGCGTCTAATGCAAAAGGTGATGCTGCCGCCGATGCAGGAGCCGTGCTGCCGGCTGCACGTTTGTGGCGACGCCAGCGAGCGATTTCGCGCTTGAATTGAGTGATGCGCTCCTCCACAGCCTCGAGCTGCCTTGGACTTTCGGACGGTGACCAGTGCCACGTCGGCAAGGACAAGGGCGTCTTGTGTGCACCAGCATCCACCCCGATGGACCATTGCGACACGAGCGGGTGGTCGTTGGGTGCGGCTTTCTTGAGAAGCCTGAGTGCTCGACCTGCCTCGAGAAAAGTCCTGGCGTGGCGGAAAGGGAGGAAGCTAGGAACTGCCGATGGTTTGAGGGTGTATCCGATGTCCTCCTCGCCTCTCTCGTCTAGCGACCAATCGACCACGGCACCGCTCCAAGGGTACGATATGTGAGTGCCATTAGCATCGGATCCAGCTTTGTGTGCGGCAGGTCGGTCGTCGAGCTCGCCCGTCCTGTCAGACTCGAAGCCGGGATAGCCTACCCATCGCGCGATTTGCTGTCGCCACGTGAGGCTGGCGCGATCGAGCAGGTAGGTCAGCACTGCCGAGCACAAGGCGGGGGCACCGGACGCAAGCGAAGCCGAGAGATGGGCATGCAGGTGCGACAGCGTTGCATGTGTAGATGCGAGCCAGGCCATTGGACGGAAGGGTGGAAGCCGTGGCTGCCCGCATGACAAAAGGTCGCCAAGCGCCTTGAGCAGTGCAGAGCAGGGCTGGAGCTCTGCATGTGCATTGAGCACAGCACAAGATGCAGCTCCATGGCCCTCGATACGATCGGTGATGGCGGCAGTATGAGAGGCGAGCTCATCTTTGAGCCACGCGATGACAGTGTCCAGTGCGGCGGCAAGTGCGGGCGCCTCGTTGCAGAGAGTAGCAGCCGTGCGATGGATCGTCAAGACACGATCGTCGATGCGGCGTAGGAGCGCACCGATTTCGAGGAAAGGACGCACGACGCTGTCGGAAGCATGTTCGCTCCAGCCCATGATGCGTTCCGAGCCTATCCAAGCCTGCATCATGCTTGGAGGTACCGCGGGATCTGTTTCGTCCCGGTCGTCTGCCGAGGCCTCGAGCGATGCGCGCATGGCCGCTTGCTCTTTGACCAGCCTTCGCAATTGACGAGCCTGTCTACGATGTTCGACGGTCGCTGCCCATAGGAACGAGGCCGAATCTGCATCCCACTGGAAGTGCTCGGATGAGGTGCCTGTAGTGGCTGTGAGAGTGAGGGAGCGGACCACATCGTAGATAGGATGCACGGGCGCGAGGTGCTGCGTCGGCAGTGCGCTCGCGTTCTCGTCGCCATGTCTTGCCTCATGGATCGCCTCTAGAAGTTCTGAAGGAGCCGAGAGGGTCGTTTCGCGCGTGGCAAGGTCGAGCAGGCGAGGCTGAGGCGGGGAGCCCCGATATCGAACAAAGGCACGATCGGCAGGAGCGCGAGGTGATTCATCCCAGACGGACGAAGCGAGTGAGCTCAAGCTAGAGGTGGAGGCGCTTCTGCGCAAGCGATATCGCGATGGACCTGGCGAGTCTAGATCGAGCTGTCCGTCGAACTCGCGCTGGGCAGCGGAGGATGAGGCGGTCGCGTCGACTTCATGGGACTGTGCTGGTGCTGGTTCTGATGCGCGACTGATGAACTTGTTGAGCACCGGATCGATGCCGGCTGGGGCGTTGTGAATGCTCAGCGATTCGAATCGCTGCTGGTCGTCGGCAGCTTCGAAGCGATTTGCTGCGGAAGGCAAGCTGAGAAAGACCGACGACACCAGCTGGTTCTCGAGGCGCGCAGCTGAGAGTTCGAGTGCAGGGAGTGGCGGCACCTCCAGCGTGTAGAGCGGCTCAAACGACATGGCTGCGCGGCTGATCCGATCGATGCGATGGAGCTTATGCGCTCAGCCGCATGGTCTTGTGATGTTGTGATGCCGAGCTTGTGATCGTGGAAGGAGAGTATGTGCGAAAAGTGGCGTTGGACGTGACGGGACTCGGACTTGCCGAAAAGCAAGGGTCGAAGCTGGTGTTGGTCTCCGATTTCGCCAAACCAGCGGGGACGGCGATTTACGCGCCCGACTTTCTGACGCGTCGAGGCCGTTGGAAAGAGTCGGCGCGAGGGCGAAAGCACAGGCTTCCCGTCAGGCTGAGAGACTTGCTCTTTCTCTTCACTTTGCCCTCATCCTCATCCACGAGAACCACCGCCGCCATGCCGACAACAATACAGCGCGATATGATCGCTTCACCCAGCGATGCGGCAGGTGCCGACGAGCTCGCCAAGACCTTTGTCGTCCCTTTAGGCTCGCGCTCGTACAGCAAGCAGTACGCCCAACTGTACGACTACCGTCTAGCGTACCTCAAGAAGCGCATCTTGCCGCGTGCAAAGGCGCGTTGGGTCGACAACTTCGAGACCTTCTCCCAGTCGCAGTCTCAGCCATCGTCTCAGCTCGACCCATCCGACGCGGGGCCCTCATCGCCACGACTCAGGATGCAGGATCCGCCCAAGTTGGTCGATCGAATCCTCGACGTGCGCCATGGCGACATCTGCTATGTCGTCGGTAATGTATACTGCGCTATGCCACTCAAGCCCGACGTCCTCGAAGACCTCACGCGCGAGGTAAGTTGCTTTCTTCGCAGGAGTACTGTTCACAGATTCGCACGCTGATCACGAACGCCCTCATCTTCCTGTGCATCCACAGCAATGGCTCGCTCCACAACCAGTGCGTGCCAAGTACGTCGACTATGACAAGGACGAGCTGCTCATCGAGGACCAGAGTGGACGCGTAAAGCTCGTCGGCGATGCTATCCGAAGCGGCGGTCCGCTTCGCTCCATGCTCATCACAGGGGTTGTCGCCGCTGTGCTAGGCACCGAGACGCGCACCGGCGATTTCGACGTAGTCGATGCCGTCTTTGCGTCCCTTCCCGTGCCTCCACCAGCGGCTCCGATATCGACCAAGAAAGCTGCCGCTGGTGACGATCAGTGGGTTGTTCTCATGAGCGGCATGGCCATCGGCGGCGAGTCGGCGCTCGAGTCGGAGCTCGCCATGCAGCTTCTCGTCGAGTACCTCACTGGCGAGCTTGGAGACGATGCAGATCGGGCGTCGAGCTCATGCGTGGTCGCAGCCATCATTGCGGGCAACTCGCTCGCGCCACCCACACGCTCCGAGGACGAAGATCGCCCCAAACGCTACGGGCAGGAGCAGCCGACGTTTTCGTCGGCGCCAACGCTGGCGCTCGACCAGCTGCTCTCCGACCTGTGTTCCGCCATGCCGGTCCATCTGTTGCCCGGCGAGCGCGATCCAGCGTCGGTGGCCATCCCGCAGCAGCCCATCCACTTTGCGCTCCTCCCGCGCGCCGGCCGCTTCGACTCGCTCCACCGCCACACCAATCCGGCGTGGCTGTCGCTGGGCAACCTCAAGCTGCTGGGCACCTCTGGTCAGAACATCGACGACATCTTCAAGTACGTCGACGAGCCCGATTCGGCACGTATCGACATGGCACTGCGCACGCTCGAGTGGGGCCACCTCGCACCCACCGCGCCCGACACGCTGTGGTGCTATCCATTCAAGTCGACCGACCCGTTCGTGCTCAAGGATCGTCCGGACGTGCTATTTGTCGGCAACCAACCGAGCTACGCCTCTGCCATGTACACGTTCGACCCCGACATCGATGCCAAGGCTCATCAAGGATGCAGGGTGGTGCTCGTGCCCGAATTTGCAAGGACCAGACAGGTGGTGCTGCTCAACCTCGCCTCGCTCGACACCAAACTCGTCACCATCGACGTGCCACTGTAGCTCTCGCGCACTGCACATGCAATCCAATCGCGACAAACAATGCCTTTTGGTACTTTATAATTCAGGATGGATTCAGCCTTTTATCGACCGTGTGGTCGAGGGTAGGCCGATGTCGCTGATCTGTTCCCACACCCTTCGCTGTCTCCGGAGCGCGTTGCCTGCATCGACGGTGACCTCGGCATCGCCCTGGTCCCAGATGCTCATTCCGCTGTACTGTCCGCCAGCGTTATTGATGAGGTCGCGCAAGGCATCCCATTCGTCAAGCACGACTCCGCTCAGTGATGTTGGATGGATCGTGGGGATGTTGAGTACCGGATCCCATTCGCGCTCCAGATCTTCGAATGTCGCATCCAGACCACCAGCCAGTCCTCCCGTCTCGTCCCTTACTGATGGCAAGCCTGCGGTCGAAGAGTCTGCAGCAGAAGAAGCAGGCGGTCGATACAGTGGGAACGAGTCAGCGAGAAGCGTTCGGAACCTGTCGCACCGGTTGTGTGCCGTCTGAATGGTGAGCCTGCGAAACTTGTCGTTCTTCGAAGGCCGCGCCGGCGCCAGTCCTTCGTTGAGCTCGAGCGCCGATAGCTCGTTCCAGAGTCCCTCGATGGCAGCAGGTGCCCGTGCAGCAGGTGGAGCCGTCGAAGCCAGGCCTCCAGTAGCACTAGCCTCCTCTGCCGGCGTGGGTAGCGCATCAGAATCGGGTGGCAGTTGCGGCTCGGCAAAGTGCTTGCTCGGCCTTTGCAGCAGCCTGCGCAAGACATTGCTGTCCCTCGTGATGTCTCCGTAGTCCTTGGGCGCGGACCAGATGAGCCACTCCAGATCAGCGAGCGTTCTGATCTCGTCTGCTTCTTCGAACGCCAGGTTCGTGTCGACGATTCGAAGCACCCGCACCTTCCTAAAGATGGGTGCACTGAACCCACCCACGAAGCTGTGCGGGTTTACGCTCGTGAGTCGGACCGGCTGACACGCCGAGCCGTACTTGTGCGCAGCGTGCAGACTGAGCAGCTCTCCGGCAAGCGCCACGTCCTGCAGCTTTCTGCATGAGCGCAGCACCGTACGCACCGAGGCGTGCACATGCTCGCGCATGTCGGTGATGTACGCCGCTTCATTAAACGACGGTGGCGATAGGGCGGTGATGAGGTCCGACGACGATGTGTCCGGTCCCACCCAGAGTCTGCGCACATGTCGAGCGACTTTTGTGTCAGAGTTGACCAGGCCTGCGAATGCATGGATCGTCGCGGACGAGCACAGCGCAACAGTGGCGTAGATGAGCGGGGCGAGCCTATCGTGGTAGTAGCGCGAGAGGCACAACAGGTGCAGCTTGCTCGTGTTCTCGGTCGCCGTGGATGCCGCGAACTCGAGTATGTATGTGATGAGCTCGCTGGGTAGCGACGATGCTAAGGTACGAAGCCGGAGCGTAGCCGGATCGTCGCGGCCAGCATTGCCGCCATCATTGACGCCGTGACCTGCTCGCTTGGCCTTGGCGGACTTGGACGGCTTGGCCACCCCAGAGCCAGTCCTTGTCGGGGCAGGTACCATCGCTGTCAGATTGACCGCCTACGCTGTCGAGATCATGACGAAGGTCTTAGGTTGGATCGTTCTCGAGCTCGAGAGCGAAGGTCTCTCTGGTGATGGAGAGGAGGCAGGTCGAACAAAGCTCGGCACATTACGCTTTAGAGCCTCCGCTCCTCCACACCCGACAACCCCGATCGAGTCGTCCGGAAGGGCTGGTTGGCTTCTTGGGCGGCTCGATTTCCGACATCGGCACCCCGATCTGAGTGGAGAAAGCGAACCAAACTGAGCCTTTTTGGACTTGTCCCGTTGCGCCAAGCTTGCCAATGCTTGACTAGATCCCACCATCTCCCGGTCGGCCACCAATAACTCTGACTTGGTGCGCATCAGTGCATCCGCCAGCTGCCCAATATGGCTGACCGCAAGGCTTTGAACCACTACTATCCGCCGGATTTCGATCCGTCCAAGATCCCGCGGCGCAAACAGCCCAAGGAGCAGCAGCAGACGGTGCGTTTGATGGCGCCGTTTTCGATGCGCTGCAACTCGTGCGCCGAGTACATCTACAAGGGCCGCAAGTTCAACGCGCGCAAGGAGCTTGTGGTGGGACAAGACTACTACGGCATCAAGATCTTCCGCTTCTACATCAAGTGCACGCGCTGCTCTGCCGAGATCACATTCAAGACCGACCCGAAGAACGCAGACTATGTGGCGGAGCATGGCGCGAGCCGCAACGTCGTTCCCATGAAAGACGATCGGGCTGAAGAGGGCGACGAGCTGCTGACGGAGGAAGAGAAGCTGGAGCGCAAGCTCGAGAAGATGGAGGGCGATCCGATGAAGCAGCTCGAGGAGCGCACGCTCGACTCGCGGCGCGAGATGGAGATCATGGATGCCCTGCAGGATATCCGCACGCGCAATGCAAGGCTCGAAAGAGTCGATGCGGATGCTGTACTAGCCAAGCTGCACGACAGGCTCAACGGCCCGAGCGGAAGCGTTGCGTCCTCCAGTGCCATCGAGGAGCAGGCGCAGGCGCAGGCGGCGGAGGAGGAGGACGAAGCTCTCGTTCGCAAGTACTTTGGCAAGGCGCTCGACGGTCCGTCTTTGTCTGCGAATGGCAGCGCCAGCGGCGTGACAGTCAAGCGCAAGCTGCTCGACGACCACGAGGCGGAGCCGGACGTGCACACGCTGCTGGCGCTCAAAGCGGCGTCCCAACCTAGCGCCGCGCCCACACCCTCCTCTGCGTCAGCGACACCATCGGCATCCGCAGCACCCGCGGCCAAGAAGAAGAAGAACGCACCCAACGCATTCGGCCTCGTGCGCAAGAAGAAGTAGGATCCCCCCAATATACCCGTCGCCGATCGCCGCGGCCTCATCTGTACTTGTATCCCTCGCAACTCGTCCACCTCGACGCCTGCACTTTTCGCATCTCACAGCATCCCACTTGGAGCGACCGGGCCTTTGATTCTTGCTTACGATCGACACACGGCTTGGAAACGCAGGGAAAAAAAGAACGTTCATTGCTCGGAAGACAGAACAACTCGGGAGAAGGTGAAAGAGGGAGAGAGAGAAAGCAGCTGGTACAAGAGCTGCGGGGTGCATGAAGTCGAAATGGCTGGGGAGGGCGTTGCTGAGCATGGAGGCCTGGAGACATAGAGAGAGTGAGAGTGCGAATTAACCGCGACCATGAGAGAGAGAGAGAGAGAGAAAGAGTGTTGAAGAAGATGAGCGACTTTACGTGCGCCATTTTGGGGGGCGCAGTAGTCCTGCATCTTGGTGGCGAACGGCAAGGAGGAAACGAGTGTACCCGAGTGAGGATGAAGGGTGGAAGGGTATGCAAGGGTTCATCGCTCCGAATCTTCTTCGCGCAGATGCCAGCCGCTTTCTTCGTCGGAGAGCGGGCCTCGGCGGGATCCCCTCTTGGAGCCGCCCCTGGAGCTTGCCCTGCCACCGGCGGCGGCTGCAGCGGCTAGGGGGCCACCGCCCACGTCGCCCTGAGACGAGGATTGCGAGAGTGGCCTACCGCCGATCTGGCTCTCCTCGTCTTCGTCGACCATGCCGCCGTATGCGACGCCTCGACGACCGCGGCTTCCGAGCGAGACGGGTGCGCTGGCCCTGGACTCCATGTCGGGGTCATTGTACGCCGCGCCTCTCCTGCCCTGGGCTGCGCTGCCCACGCCTGCACTCGAGCTGACCGAAGAACCGGGACTCCTCCTGCCCGTGTCGCGGTAGGAGGCAGCGGGCGCACCGCCTGCACCACCTACAGCCGTGGCACGAACGGGCGAACGACCGATGGCATTCTGTCGCTGCTGCTGCTTGGACTGCTGCGCATAGTTGTACGCCCTGCGACCCCACTCAAAGTGAGGCTCGTTGAGGCTCTCCTGATCGAGCAGCAGGAAGATGTACATGCCGTAGAGCAGCTCGATGACAAAGAGGAAGACCTGCACGCCGAACGTGGCATACGCAAAGCCCGTGGCGTACTCGAAGAGATCGCAGACGTGGTTAAAGTTGGCGGGCTTTTCGTAGTGCCAGTAACCGTCGAACTGGCAGTTTTCGCGGCCACGCAGATCGTTGGCATAAGCCAGCGCGCCCGACACCCAGAGGACGCACATGGCAAACTGGAGGAGCAGCTCGATCTTGACCATAAAGAGCGAGTAGAGGAAGTCGCCGTAGTTGATGAACGGCATGAGCGGCAGGAAGATGTTGTAGCCAAAGTAGATGATGGGCGTAAAGAGGCCGAGGATGATGAGGAAGATGAGCGAACCCCACGACGGACGGATGATGGGGTCGTTGGAGTTGTAGAAATCGACGATGAGGATGGCGATGATGGCGGTGGCGAGCGAGAGCAGTGCGACGAGGCCGGTGACGAGGAATCGGATGACGAGCATCACGTTTGGGTGCGGTGCACCGGGGAGCGAGCCGCGCGCGGGCTCAGCTACGGTGAGCGAGCGGCGCTGCGGAAGACCCATGGTTGCGATGCGTGCGAGCAGCCGGAATGTGTATGGATCGAATGGGGAAGGTAGAAAGACCAAGCAACGGCCTTGTGCCGATGTGTCGAAGCTGGTGGCTGCTCAATGGACCCAAGCTCGAGGGAAGACGATACCGGATGGATGAACGTCCGTACGCCGCCGAGATTCGATGGATTGACCTGCTGCTGTCGAGAAGGATGGAGATGATGGGTGTAGGGGTCGAGACGAAGCAGGTCGAGTCGGCGCGGAGGGGGAGGATGATGAAGGGTGAAGGATGGATGGATGGCTGAGGGGTTAAGGTTAGGTCTGCGAGGGAGCGACTGTCGAACAGTCAGAATCGCGGCGGCAGGAGGGGGATCAGGATCAGGCAGGCTCAGCAGGCTCACACACACAGAGACGAGGGGAGGCAGTAGCAGGGATTTGCACACTCAGCGCCAGGCAGCGCGGGGAAAGGATTGGCTTGGATCCATGTCGATGGTTCTACGGGGTAGCAACTATTGGCTGCAGAGTAGAACCGACGAACGGTGCGGAGCGGCTACGGGCGGATGCAGCTTGGGCAGCTCAGGCGAGACCCGGTCGCAAATGTTGACGCATGGCAGCGCCTGCACCAGGCTATGTGCAACCTCATACGAGAGTGTGAAGAGTCGGGACCTCGTCGTCTCTGTCTCTGCAAGCGGGTGAACGGCTGCGTCAGAGCGAGGGGCCCAAAGGATCGACGGCGGGTGCGGTTGCGGGTGCGGAGATGCTCAGGGCGGGGAATTAGTTGTTGCGCGATTGCTCTGCTGCACCCCGCCTGTCTCTGAGTGCAAAGATCGGAGGTGCAAAAACGGTTGGCGGGGCGTGAAGCGGCACTTTTTTTTTCCCCTCGCAAGTCAAAACTCGAGGTCGGGGCGTCAAAATTGGACAGAGACCTAACGCATCGCCTGTTTGGGCCAAGGAAGCGCTAAGCGAGGAGGCCTTTGCGCGTCTCTGCAGGCCCAATCGAATTTCCACCCAACTGCATCCCACTGCGCCTGGCTCGCATAGATCGACAGCCACTGCTCCGTTACGTCGGCCCCCCTCCTCGCCCCCTTGCCGTCGCTGCAAGAGAAGGATTCCGAGGTTGCAGCGCAGACCGTATAGCGAGATACTTCATCCACCACGGCACTGCACTGCACTGCACTGCACACTTGACACTAGCCTGTCCATACACCAACGCACGAACCCTTGTTTCTCACTACAGATTTTACACTTTAATCCACTCGGACCTCTTTCGATCCGCGTTGCAGAGTAGGGCTGGTGGTTTTGGCAGCGACGATGGCTTTTTGGCTTTGACGATGAGCAGCGGTGTGAAAGGCGGCTTGCGCCCTCGCCTAAGTGTTTGTAGCAACGCCCTTTTTGCGTCGGGCAGTGAAGTGGCGGCGGAACAATTTTTAGAAAGGGCTCTTGCTTGCTGCTGCTGCTGCTGCTGCTGCTGCTGCTGCTGCTGCTGCTGCTGCTGAGACGGGATTTTCCCATCAGCCGGTTCCTCGAGTGCAGCTCGCATGTGGACGTGCATATGCGTGCAGCAGCCTGGGATTTCGCCTCATCATGCATTGCGACGCCCTTGGAGCGCGCGGAGTGCCAAAATCCAACTGCCCCCAACTCTACCGCGCACCCACTCTACGCTTGTTCCCTGCACAAGGCTCGCAGCTTTTCCCTGGCCGCAGATGCCCTAGCATGCCATCCCTGTGGGCCGTCCACGAGTGCACTTACAGTATCGGTTCCTGAGTCGACCCCGCAACCACACCACGTTGAAACAAGCTTCACACTTTTAGGTCGACATCTTGTCAACGCGAGATGCGCTTTTGCGAGCATCAAGATGAACGACGAGGTGGTTTGCGCGGTGCAAAAGCCGCTTGGATCGCGCTCACCGCCGTGGCCAGCCAGTGATTTTCGGCGCCGAATCCGGTCAGACCGCCGCGCAAGCGATCCTGCGCAAGGCCTCCCCTGTCTCTCAAATCTCTCCGCGTCCCTCGACTGGATCCGGCTGCCGACAACTACACCCATCGGGACTCCCTCCCGATTGCCCACCTTTCACCGTAGCTGCTCCATCTGGTACCCAACGCCATCTCTTGTACCTTGCAAGGCGATGCCGGAGTCACCGTTGTGAGGATAGAGGCCTAGAGATCTGCGCCTTGGTCCCGTCCCTACCCATTGAACGGCGAGGTAGGAATGTCAGGCAGAAGCAGCCAAGCCAAGCCGGCAGCGGCGGTTCCTACATTACCCCGCCGCCCCCGCCGCCCCCGCAATCCCCACTTTCACGCTGCTTCGCCGCGTCTTTACCCCACCCGCACCTCGCGCCTGGGTCTCATATCTGCCTTTCTCGACCGATTCCTGGCGACTATTCCCGATCCAATTCCGATCCAGTCCACATCACACGCACGCTTCTTGGCCGTCTATTCTATCACATTGACACATCTAGCGAGCAGAGTCATGGCAGATCTAGGGCACGGCGTCCAGATCACCCAGACTGTTGATGAGGTAGTCCGGCACGGTCTTGGCGTGCTCGCCCTCGATCTCGTCGCGCGTCGAGATGCCCGTGAGCACGAGCATGCTCGCGATCCCACCGGCCTTGGCGAACTCGATGTCCGTGTTGAGTCGGTCGCCCACCATGATGGCGCGCGCCGGGTCGAACTGCTTGGTCGCAATGATGCAGTCCAGCATGGGCTTGTGCGGCTTGCCCACAATCGTCGGTGTGCGCTTGGTCGAAAAGATCAACGGCGCAGACAGGCTTCCTGCGCCCGGCCACGGTCCTCCCTTGGCTGGGAACGTCGAGTCGTCATTGGTGAGGATAAAGTGGCATCCTCCACCCTCCTTGCCCGCTTCCACCTCACCCTCGCATCCTGGCCGCGTCAGATGCTTGAACGCCTTCGCAATCTTGATGTACGACATGTGCATGTCGAATCCACACACCACCGCTCCCACCTTGGGATCGATCGCCTCGTCGTTCTGCAGCGATGTAAAGTCGAGCGCAGGCAGGAACTTGTTGTCCTCGCCGTCCGTTCCGCCGCAGTGCAGGATCCCCTCGGCATCCAGCTCTTCTTCGATCCCGTGCATGCCGATCACATACACCTTGCGATCCGCCGGGAAGTTGAGCACCCGTTTCAGATACACTGCCGACGCATACGACGACGAAAACACCTCGTCCAGCGACGCCTCGATGTTCATGCCCGCAAACTTCTTGAGGTACGTCGCGCGCGACTTGGACGCATTGTTCGTCACAAAGATCACCGACTTGCCGCGCGCGCGCAGCTTCTGCAGCACCGACACGACGCCCGCGATCGTCTCGTCGCCCGACCACAGCACGCCATCGCAGTCGAACAGGAACGTGTCGTACTTCGAAAGCAGCTCCTCGTAGTCCGCCACCTCCTGCAGGTACTTGTACGCCGTCGGCTTGGTACCGTTCGCCGACACTGCCCCAGTAGAGCCCGCAGCAATAGCAAGTGCCGCGGTGGTACCAGCTGCAGCGCCCAGTCCGACGGTGGCGCCGTCGCCCGTGAGCTGCGTCGCCGCAATCGCATCCGCGTGCTTGTCGACAGCCGCCGGCTTGGCACCCGCCTGCTTGCGGCTTCCATCCTCGGAGATTCCACGCTGCTCGGTGAGCGTGTTCCAGTACACGTCAAAGTTCCACTCGTAGTTGTGGCGTCCGCCGAACTCAACATCGAGCTGCTCGGCGGGCACGAACTCGGCGAGGTTGGCGTTGAAGCGGATCTTCTCCTTGGTGATCGGGTCAAGGAACGGCGTGATGGCTGTGAAGAAGGCATTCAAGAACCACGGCACGTTCATCACAAACGCCCTGCCGAGGCGCTCCACGTAGTGGTTCTGCAGGATGTTGGCCACCGTGCGCGCGGTCGAGAGCGACGGGTTGGACTGCGACGTCGCCCCGCGGTAGTCGATCACGATCGCATAGTTCTCCACACCCTCGGGCATGAGGTCGATGGCGCGCTCGAGCGTGTACACCAGGTATCGCACCTGGTCGTTGCTCGGCGTCGTATTCTCGCGCGCCGGACGCAGATAGATCAGCGGCCTTCCGTCCTTGTCGAAGCCCGAAACGATCTGCTTGCCCGTCTCGGCCTCGTGCGCGATGCTCGCCGGCGCGATGATCTCGGGCCGGAACTCGCGCCGCCACTCGAGCGTCGACTTGATGCGCTTCTTGGCATTCTCCACGTCGCCCTTGGCCGCACGCAGGTAGCGCTGGTACAGATTGTGCTCGCCCAGCCACTTTTGCTCCCACACCTCGTAGTCGGCGGCCGGCGGGGTTTCCGATGCCACGCTGCGCGTGTACTTTTCGAGTTCGGCCAGCTTGGCCTCCTGTTCGGGCGTGAGCGGATCGCGCGGCTTGGGCACGCAGCCCGCGGCGGGCGTGGTGAGGATCTGCGACGTCTTGGGCGGCAGCGGCTCGGCGTTGGCGTCGGACTGGTTCGACTTGATCGAGTGCGTCGATGGCGTGCGCGAGAGGCGCCCGAGGAAGCGCGACATGGTTGCGGCGTGTGTCTATGGAAGAGCCCTTGGAGTGAAGGCAAGAAGGACGGCGACACGTTTTTGTGGGATGATCCGTCCGCCGCTCAGTCGCCGATTCCACAATCTCCGTCGCACCTCGGCGCTTCTCGCGGCGTTTTATCGGCTGCCTTTTTGGTCGGCCATTTCTGAGGATTCGAAAGATCGGGCGATTCAATGCGAGTCGCGCCTCCACGTTTTTGTTGTTTTTGGGCGTAGACCGAGATGCAGGGACCAGGAGGAGGTGACGTCTGGGAAAAAGAAAAAGCAACACGGCACCGCTGCTGCTTGTGGCTCTACCCTCCACGTCCTTGTCGTCGTGGAACCAAACCTCTCGCCACCGTCTCCTCCTTCCATCTTCTTCGCTTCCACGCATCGGCTCCCTCCGCTCTACGCAGAACAAGACCTTGACGAAGCGTTAAAAGCCGCACCCGACTCCTGTCTTTTCCGTCGTGCAGCACACGAGACTCGTTACTCCTCCTCCTCCACCAACTCTTTCTGCAGTTCGCACACCATGGCGGAGACTGCGGGAGAGGCCCACGGCCTCTTGCACAACCTGCTATCCGAGGTCGTGCCATATCCGGTGTTTCAAGTGCTCGCTGGCTTCTCCAACCTCATCTACCGGCTGCTCGGCTCGTCGAACGACCCGTCCTCGTGGACGTCAACGCTGCTGCCACCACTCATCACCTTCTTCCTCGCATACTTTGCGCTGGTGACCGCATACCGCACCGTGCGCTCCATGATCTCGCTCGCGTGGTTCGGCATCAAGTGGGGCGCCATCATTGGCGCGCTCATCGCCATCTGGGCGTGGTGGACTGACAACACGGACGCCATCAACAGCACAGGCACCGTCCCCGGCCGCGGCGGATTCCTCAATCAGCGTAAGCATCGATCGACATCGCTTCCTGCCCGCGTGCGATTCCGTACTGAGCCAAAAACCTTATTTCGCGTGACGGCAGTGTTCAAAGGCTGACCGACTGTTCTTGCCTCGCACTCTTTCGGCAGTCAACACGTTTGGCCCGCTCTTCAACAGTCTCTACTCGCAGCTCCCCTCGAGCTCGGCAGCGGGCACGTCTTCGGCGAACTCGCGGCGTCGCACCACATCGCAGACACGTCGACGAACGCGGGGGTCGCGCAACGACCAGCGTGCTTTCTCATTTGATCCGACCGCCGACCTTCCCGCCGACTTGGGCGCTGGGTTCGGTGCGTTTGCCGATCTGTTTGGACGTCCCGATGGCGGCGCCGACCGCAACGGGGTCGACTTTGGCGCGCTGCTGCGCACGCTCGTGACCGAGGGGCAGAGGCAGGGCATCGATGCGCTCTCGGCACTCCGCGCAGCAGGCAAGGTGCAGGACGAGCTGAAGCGCTTCCAGCAGGATCCCGCGCGCTGGTTTGAGGGTGTCGGCGACAGCTTCCGCACCCAGCCGCAGGCGCCCAACACAAGAGCTAGGGCTCAGGCGAGAAGAGCGCAGCGCCAGACCGAGCTCGCGGGGATGGAGGGTGACTCGTGGTGGTCCAACCTGGCTGCGGGCGTGAACGAATACCTCAAGCCGGAGCCTCGTGGTCGCACTGGCCGAGCTGCTCGCAATGCGCAGTAAAGCAATCATAAAGACCGGAAGGTTTGCACGTGGATCGAGATTGAATGCTTGCTTGTGTTCCCTGTTGGTGCTGCTAGTCATTAGAGTCTTCGCTGACAGCCGCGAGCGCTGGTACCTTATCGGTGCGCATGCCGAGACGCTTCGCAATATCGATGGCGACCTGTCTTACAGACTGGACATCCTGCTCTGACCAGCCTGCACGCATAGCCCCTCGCATGTGCCAGAGCACCTCTGCGCGGCAATTCTGCGTGACGAGCGCGGCGAGCACCACCAGCTCGGTATCTCTCCAATCGATCACGCCCTGCTGAGCGAGATTAAGTCCGTAGTTGACGTCGAGCGTCAAAAACTTGATATCCTGCATGTTGTCGTTCATCTTGACGTCTAGGATGTCGTCCAAATTATGGCGGTATACCCTTTTCAATGCCTCCTCGGCTTTCCCCCTCAGGGCGGAGATGGGTTGATCCAGCAGATGCGACCTCGTAAAGTCGTCCTTCGTCAGCAGATATGAAGGGTTGGTGGATCGAATGTGCGCCAGCAGTTCAAACACCGTGTCGAGGGCGGGGGGGATGCCAAAGATCACACTGCCCTTGACGAGCGTCTCCTGAATGCGGCGCTGGATGCTTTGCGCCGCCGCCTTGTCGGCCGTGCTTTCCGAAAGCGCAAGTTCGTAGAGCGTCGTGATGGTTTCGGGCCCGTGGTGGGAGGATGCAAGAGCCGAAGTAAGAACCAACAGCCACGATCGCTCGCGAACGGGCGCCGATAGCGCTTCACGAAACGCCAGGATTTCGGCCCTTGTCACCCCCGCAGGCACCGCCACTGCTGGATAGCTGGAGCTCGACATGGTCCTTGTAGACGTCACGCTACGAGGCAGCGCAAGACTCGCTCTGGCCAGTCCAACCAGTACCCTTTGCATCGAATCACGCTGTGGTGGTAGCTCCACAACCCTTTTTCCCCATCAACGCGCATTTTATTAGCGGGTCCATGCACCAACACGTGCCCCCCACATCCACACCCACACCCTCAGCACATCTTCTAACCTCTTCACACACCCACAATCACTGCTTTCGGAGATCGACATTCTTCTATTGAGTTCAGATGCCCATCTGCCGCTTCATGCCCAGCCACACTGCAAACGAGATGCTCGTCATCGGCACCACCTTCAAGAAGCCAATGCTGAGTCCCACATAGAACCCCCTCCATCCACTCGTCTTGTAGATCCACGCCGCGGTCTCCCACATGCCGAGCATTGCTCCGGGGCGGATGATGCCGCCGACCTGCTGTCTCCTCCGGATCACCTCGAACGGGTACGCGGCTGTCTGGGACAATGCGCCCGCCAATGCACCCGCCGAGAGGTCCACGACGGTCTTGCTGGGCCAGAACCACCTGCGTCTACTACCGGGTACATCTGCCGCTGGTTCCGACGGCGGGAAGAGGTCCTGAAGCATGGTCTTGCACCTTCCGAACACGAGAAAGCTCGTGCCCGCATACGGGATCATGCCCATCACCGTCACACTGAACCCGCGGTAGAACTTGAGCACCGGATACTGTGCCAACAACCTATTCCCCGCCGGCACGGCTGCCGAGGGCACGTTGGGATCGGTTGCTCTTAGCGCGCTTCCCAACGCGCTCGCCGACGCACTCGTAGCGGCCGTGCTGAGATTCGCCTGCTGTGCAGACTGTGCCGTCCTGGCCGCGCGCCTGCGTGCATCGCTGCTGAACGGCGCCTCGGTGGCGCCCTCGCTATAGATCATGCGAATGATGCGCCTTACCCCACCCTTCTGCCTCTTGCGCTTGGTCTCGAACGCCAGCCGCACACGAATAAGCTCGAGCGGATACGTGAGGAACACCGACAACACCCCGCTTGCCGACCCGGCCAGGAAAAGACGCCCCGAGGTCTCGGACTGCTTGGTGGGCATGAGGTAGAAGTGCAGCTTGTCGTACGCCATGTACTTGATCGCCGCGTACGGAAAGATGCGCATGAGCGTCGCACTGTGTCCCTGGAACAGCGCCGACGGCCCATCGGACCGAACGATGTCGCGACCTGCTTGGAAGACGCCGAGCCAGCGGCCCGAGTACTTGGCAAACTCGGGGTTCTGCGCCTGGAACAGGATCTTGACGCGGTCGAGCGGCGCGATGGCCGACTTGGCCACGCATCCGGCAATCCCGCCCGCAAATCCGGAGCGCAGCACATAGTTCCAGCTCGTCTTGTCCGACGTGTCGCCGAGCAGCGTCGAGACGGGTGCGGCGGCAGGGGCGACGGTGCGCGCGCTGGAGGTGGGGTTGGATATTGTGAAGCCGTCGTATGCGCGAGACTTGCCCTTGAGGTCGAAGGGTCGCTGCACGTCGCGAGGGTCGGATGCGGCCGAGTCGGTCTCGCACAATGGCGGATGCTGTGGGCGTGGTGCCGCCATGCTATTGATGCGTGTGCCGGTCCGCGCTTTGCCGGAATAACACCCTTCTTCCCCGCTACACTGCGTCGGCGTCGGCGTCGGCGTCTTGAGCTGCGCCGCGTTCGTTTCGAGGAGTCGGACCTGTGTGGACGTGTGCGTCTGTGCTGGTTGCAGGTGTCGGATCCGATGCTGCTTCGCGTTGACCTTTCCGTGGAGAGTTGGCTGGAACACAGCCGTGTCGAATGATGTTGCTCTTCTGGATGGCGAGTGGCCGCCTGAGCTCGATGTTGGTGGTCGGAAGCGGAGTGTGGGGGATGATGGGCCGACTCTTTACCGGGCTGCGCTTTGACGGCTGAGCCGGACTGGAATTGGAATGCAGACGGACGGCTGGACCGGCTGTTGGCGTTGGATTTGGCTGCCCCGCTGCTGCTGCGCTCTCCCCCGCGCCGTGCGATTGGTAACCGGTCCTCCTTTCTTTCTCCTCTCTTCTGCCATTCCAAGCCGCGGTGAGGAAAATAACAAAAAAGCCGCTCCTTCTGCCCCGCTTGGTCCGACGCGCGCGGGGGTGAAGCGAGCATCCATCACCACCAGTAGCCGCGTGATAGCCTGAAAAACTCCACACGCGTGTCCCTCCCTCTTCAAAACGACCAACCATGCCCAACCCCCCATCATTGCTCCTAGTAATCGTACCTTCGCGTTCAAAGCCAAAAGCAAACCAAGTCCACCAAAAGAACAAATTGTGCCCCCAAAATAAAAAGAGCATAAAAAAATCGAAAAAAATGCTCTCGGCGAGAGTCGAACTCGCGATCTTAGGATATCTGAACGTTACGTTCGTAGGTGTGTTCCTGCAAGCAGGATCGTTGGTGAATACGTATGAGACCTACGCCCTAACCAACTAGGCCACGAAAGCGAATGTTGTGCGGTGCGACAGGTGTTGCCATTCTATAGTCTTTCGCAAGGCACACGAACTCAACCCTGGGTGATGCGGTATGGGTATGGCGGTCGCTTCTATGATTCACACGCACACACACACACACGACGAAGAGGCATGGCGATATGGTTTTATTCAGGTACAAGACAACAAGGCGGAGGCGTAGGATTGCAATCAGGAGAGCGAGGCGTAGTCCGAGACGAGCTTGGCGACGCCGTTGGCGAGCGGTGCGAGTTCCGAGGCGATGGCGCACTCTGCATAGACGCGCACGCAGTCTTCGGTGCCGCTGGGACGCACAAAACTGCGCGCGTCCTTGTACTTGCCCACAAGCTCGTCGATGCGCTCCTGAAGCCCAGGCGGGCTGGTGAGCCTGCGCTCGGCATCCTCGGTCTTAAAGACGAAGCGGTCCCTGACGTTGACCTTGAGGATCTTATTGGGCAGATCCTCGTAGGCGCCGTCCCACTCGATGGGTCCCCACTGGCGCGCACGCAGGATCACCTCGACCAGCAGCATGTCCGAGATGGCATCGCCCACCGTCTGGTTGATGAGGTCGACGAGCGCACCGAGCTGCTCGAGCGCCGTCTGCGCCGCGGGCGACGACGGCGAGGCCTCCTTGATCTTGCGCTGTGCCGAGGGCGAAAAGAGCACCGTGCCGTGCCCGTTGGCCTCAAAGTACACGCCAATGTCGTACGACTCGGCGGCGTGGTGCAGATGCTTCACTCCCGTCGGCGTGCACGTGACGGGGACGCGCTGCTTGAGGTACTTGGTGGAGCTGCCGTTGGCGTAGGCGGTCTGCACACACCCGAGCTCGAGCTTGATGCCAGCCTGCTGCACCAGCTCCGAGAGGTAGCCTGCTGCGAGCGACGCGATCTTGTCGCCGTCGAGCAGCCGGAACGAGTCCTTGGAGGTGGGCGGGCCCGTGAGGTAGTAGTAGACGATGCGGTCGGCGTCGCCGTCGAACGAACACATGCGTTCTCCCGGCTGCAGGCCCTCCTTTTCAAAGCCCACAGGCAGGCACTGGTTGGTCTTGACATAGTCGGCGCCGCAGCCGCTGTTGAGCGCGCCGGCGGTGGTGGTGTTGGTGCGGAGCGGACGGAAGGCGATGCGGTCCTCTGGGAGATACTTGATGAAATTGGTGAGCGCATAGGCACCCACGCCGTTGGCGCAGTCGACCACGAGCGGCGGCACGTCGGACGACTTGGGCACGAGGCGCAGAAAGGCGGCGGCGAGCTTCTTGTAGTAGCCCTGCTCGGTGGGCTCGCCGTACGCGTCCGGGGTTCCCTGGGTGTTGAGGCACTTGACGAGGTAGTGGAGCTGGGGCGTCGTCTTGAGGCCGGCATCGATGGTCTGTGCGCCGAACGCCGCGAGGCCGTCGACGATGGCCTGGACGAGCTGCTTGCACGACGGACGCGTGTCGTAGCCCACCACCACCGAGGCCGGGGCGGCGAGGTCGATCTTGAAGTGTGCGACGAGCTTGTCGAGCGAGGCGATGAGCTCGTCGTCGTCCGCCGCATTGGCGATGTGGGTGCAGAAGGGCTCCCAGCTGGACTCGAGCATCTCTCCGCGCGGATCGACCATCTTGACGCCGTTGTCGTGCTCCGGGTTGTGGCTTGCGGTGACCATGAGGCCGATGGTCTTGCCCTTGAGCTTCTTGCTGCGGAGTGCACCGATGAGGCCGACGCGGAAGCATGTGCTGTCGAGGATGTCGGCGCGCGTGCGCAGGCCGGCGGTGCCGTAGGTGAACGTCTGGTCGGCGGGCTTGGGGTGCGCCTGCGATGCGGTGGTGATGAGCGCGGTGGGGAGGCCGTCTCCGAGGTGGGCCTGAGCCGCCGAGATGGTGGAGGGTAGCGCCATTGCTGGGATATCCAAAAGTGATGAGCGATGGAAGGGGATGGTGGAGAAGTGAGAAGCGAGTGGAACGTGCTGGGGCTCGACTGAGCAGCAGCAGCAGCTCTGGAAGAATTCCAACCAACACTTGTCGGCGCCTCTGCCCTTTCGCCTGGTCCCACCTGGGGATTGAAATTTCGCGCGAATCGCCGCACGGATGCGTGGAGGTGATGGGGACGTGCAGCGGCGGGCATGAGGCGGTGAGGCGAACAGCGCGTGCTCTTAGCTCTAACAAGACTGAGCGCGGAAAAATGCGCGAATTAGGAAGCGGGTGTGAGATCGACAGGTGTTGCGCACAACACGTGCCGGCCGGCCAAAAAGAGGCGCTGCGACAAGGGCCAACAGGGCGGTCATCGTGGATGTGAAGCGTTGCTGTGCAAGTGAATTCGATGCTGCGCTGACGCCGCGCTGACGACGGCCGCTGCAGACGCACAGAGAGAGTTGCCGTGGCTCAGGTCGGAAGGGTCATCCGACAATCGGCCGTCGCAATCAATTGCTCATCCATCTATCTCGGCTGACTTCTTCCATCCTAGCCTCCGCCCGCTCTTCCACTTACAGATCAGCGCACATAGCAAGCAGCGACTCGGCATCGACTCGGCATCGACTCGGCATCGACTCGGCAACGCCGTCTGACACATTCTCGGATTCCTAGCAAAGCGCAGCAGGTTCTGCGATCCATCGTCTCGGCGACACTCGACATGGCCTCGTCGTCCATCGGACAAGATGGTGGTGCTCCGCCGCAACTGCACATCAGCCCGCCGGGCACCGCATATGCCAGCGCATCCTCCACGTCCGCAGCACCACCACCGGTGAAGCGACCGCCGCATGGACGCGCACGCTCGTCGTCGCTCGTGTCGGTGACGCGCGTCGAGGAGACGCACGAGGAGATGATCGACCAGTCCACCGGCTTCAACGCCAACGCCGACTGGGTCAACTACAAGGGCGCGTGGGTCATCCACGTCGTGCTCATCCTGCTCGCCAAGATCCTGCTCGACGTCATCCCCGCCATGCAGCAGGACACCTCCTGGACGCTCGTCAACCTCGGATACATGGCGCTCTCCTACATCATGTTCCACTACGTCACCGGCACCCCCTTCGAGTCCAACGCAGGCGTATACGACCAGCTCACGCTGTGGGAGCAGATCGACGAGGGCGCACAGTACACCCCCGCCAAAAAGTGGCTCACCTCGGTGCCCATCGGCCTCTTCCTCATCTCGACGCACTACACGCGCTACAACCCGCTGCTCTTTGGGCTCAACTTTTGCGCACTCCTCTTTGTGCTCTTCCCCAAGCTCCCCATCCTTCATCGCCTCCGATTCCGCTTCTTTGCTCCACCGCCCACCCCCAGCCCGTATCCGAGCCAGCCGCCAACACCCACCGGCACGCGTGCGCCCAGCCAGCCTTATTGAGGGGACAACTCAGCCACAATGGCGTGTTCCGTCGTCGTCGTTGTCATCACCGTGTCTCCAAGCAGTGTGACAAACGTGCGTCCTTATCACCCCCTATAGCAAAGCGAATGCAATCGCAATCGAAATGGGACCACAGTACAATAATGCCGCCTGAGCTCGTATCGACGTGGGCACGCGCGGATCGTTGGATGTCCGAAATCGGGACCCGGAGAGGTGCCAAAGTGGAGCGCCGGCGAGCTCAATTCAAAATTTTCTCGGCGTCAAAAAAGTGAGCGAAAAAACATAGAAAAGAAAAAGCACCTTTTCTTCCAGCTCGAGGCAGCAGCAGCAAGGAAGAAAGAAAAAAGTTGAGCCAAAAAGAAAGACGAAACGAGACCCTGACTGGCCCGCCGTCCTCACCACCACTCCTTGCCTCCGACTCGCAACATCATTGCCACCGACCATCGCTGCAGCCCACCATCCTCGCTCGAGCAAGACAGGCAACAGAGAAACAGCGACCAGCACAACCTTCACCAAACGCAGGGCCACATAGAGTCTTGCTCGTCCAGCTCTGGGCGCCACAGGGCCTACCGCCAACATGCCCCACCATCACCGTGCCTCGTCGCTGAGGCAGTCCAACAAGGCCTTCAAGTCGAAGCACGCCACAAAGACCTCGCTGCGTGAGGCGTCCAAAGGTCGCTCTGCCAGCGACGTCTCCAGCACCTCGCGCCTCTCCTCGCACAAGGCTTCGCCGCTCTCGGCCGCCGGAAACGAGGTGGGCTCGCGCCAGCACCGCCGCAACCACGCCAAGCAGGCACAGCGTTCCAAGCGCAATGCTCTCGTCCAGTCCAACCGCATCTTCTCCTCCGCCGCATCCAGGGAGGGCAAGGACGGTCTCTCCAAGGGTTTCGCCGGCGCCGGTGCAGGCGCTCCGCGCATCTGCGCCGTCGTCGACCTCGCCGAGGACGGCGACTCGTGGGAGGCGGTGAGGAGGATCCAGGAAGAAGGTCTCGACGGCGGCGTCCAGCCTGTGCCTGGTCGAAGCGTCGACGATGCGTTGCGCACCGGCCTGCCCTACTGCGAGCTCGAGGCGACGCGCTTCCGTCAGACCATCCAGTTCCTTCCGCTTCCCTACGGCGCGCTCTACCCCATCCTCGACGCATGCAAGTGCGCCGACTTTGTCTTGCTCGTCCTGTCCGCATCCACCGCCATCGACCCGGGCTCGTGGGGCGAGCTCTGCCTGCGCACGCTCCAGGCGCAGGGCTTGCCCACCGTCGTCGTCGCCGTGCCCACCCTCCATCCGGACGGCGCCACGGGCGTTGGAGGCAGCAAGAAGGCCGGTGCCGCACTCAAGGCGGCCAACGAGGTGCGCAAGTCGCTGCTCAGCTTCGCACAGTACTTTTCGCCCGACGTCGACAAGGTGCATGCACTCGACGACCGCGCCGAGCGCGGCGCGCTGCTGCGCACGCTGGCCACCGCCACACCCAAGCGCGTCGCCTGGCGCGACTTCCGCGCGTGGATGGTGAGCGAAGACGCAGAGTGGGAAACCGCTCCCAACCCGGACGCTACCAACGCCAATGACGGTGCGAACGGCATCGCGAGTCTCAACGGCCACGACCAAGAACGAGGCACCCTCAAGGTGACCGGCTGGATCCGCGGCGCACCCATGTCGGCGGACCGCCTGATCCATCTTCCGGACTTTGGCGACTTTGAGGTGGACCGCATCGCGTACGCACCGCCGCCCAACGCACGCACCAAGCACACCAAGGCGAGCGCCACCACGGCCGCGAGCACCGACGCTGACGACGCTGCCATGACGGATGCCGACACCGCCGCTACTGTCGCCGATGCACCGCTGGCGGCGGGCGATGTGCTGCAGACGCGCGACGACGAGTTCGCCGACGACCTCGTCTCCGAAAACGAGCCGGACGACATGGGCAACGAGCAGACGTGGCCGACCGAGGAGGAGATGCAGGCGGCCGAGCAGTTTGCCAAGCAGCGTGCCGACGGCGAGATGCCGCCCCCGCCCGCGCTGCCCGGCACCACGCCCAAGACGATCATCAAGGGCAGCGGCAATGCCAAGGACAACGCCAAGTACCGTGCCGCCTGGATCATCGAGTCGGACGAAGACGAAGACGATGACGACGACGACGATGCCGACTCGATGATGGCGGAGGAAGCCGACGAGGACATGGACACGGGGGATGTCGAGGTGAACGAGGCGATTGACGACTACGAGCGCATGAAGGCGGCGGCGATTGCGCAGCAGCACGCGCAGCCGAGCGAGAGCATGTCCGAGATGGCGTTCGAGGACGTGGACGATGCGCAGGCCGAGGCCGAGTACCGCGCGTACCAGGAGCAGCGCAAGCGCGAGCGCGAGGAGCGCGACGATGCCGAATTCCCCGACGAGGTGGATACGCCGCTCGAGATCGCGGCGCGCCAGCGCTTCGCACGCTACCGCGGGCTCAAGTCGTTCCGCACCTCGCCCTGGGATCCGTACGAGGATCTGCCGCGCGACTATGCGCGCATCTTCCAGTTTGAGGACTTCCACAAGACGCGCCGCCGCGTCGAGGGTGCTGCGCTGCTGGACGGTGTGCAGCCTGGCTTCCGCGTGACCGTGTGGGTCAAAGACGTGCCGCGCGCCGCGGCGGTGCGTGCTCGGGCGAGCAATATCGAGCTGCCGAAGGTGGATGTGGCGGTGCCGTTTGTGCTGTTCGGCCTGCTGAGGCACGAGCACAAGAAGAGCGTCATCAACTTTACCGTCACGCGCAACACCGAGTACGACGCGCCCGTGCGCTCCAAGGACCCTCTCGTGCTGTGTCTTGGTCCACGCCGCTTCCGCGTCAATCCGATCTTCAGCCAGCACTCTCGCGGTGGGGGTAAGGGCGTCAACAACGTGCACAAGTTCGAGCGCTTCCTTCGGCCCGGTGTCTCTGCCTCTGTCGCCACCGTCTACGCACCAATCACATTCGGAGGCAGTACTGCTCCCGCCGTGCTGCTTCGGGAACGCTCCATCGATGGCGAGTCCGGGTACGACCAGCGGGGCGTTTCCGCAGCCCAGATGCCTCACCTCGTCGGATTCGGCAACCTCATCGATGCCGGACCCACGCGCATCAATGCCAAGCGCATCCTGCTGTCGGGCCACCCGTACAAGGTGCACAAGAAGACGGCCACGATCCGGTTCATGTTCTTCAACCCCGAGGACGTGTACTGGTTCAAGCCCATCACGCTGCACACCAAGCTCGGGCGCACGGGGCACATCACCGAGTCGCTCGGCACGCACGGCTACTTCAAGGCGCACTTTGACGGTCCCATCAGCCAGATGGACACGGTGCTCATGAATCTGTACAAGCGCGTGTATCCCAAGTGGGCGCATCCGTTTGGTAGTGCGTATGACGAGCTGCCCCTGCCTCGAAGCGAGGTGTACAAGGAGGATGACATGCAGACCTAGACCCCCCCCGGCACACATGATCTTAGCGCTAAACTTTCGTTTCATTCCTCCGGCCAAGTGTGTGCGACATTTCGGCATTGTGTGAGGGAGCGGTTGCCCCGTGCGAGACGGGAGAAGGGAAGGGTGGATTGCGTGGTGGCGAGATAAGATAGCGTGAGCGGTAACTTGGTCGGTTGGATTCGGATGGCGCCAGAGTGCGGGTGCATGGCTCGTGCTCGATAAGGCGTGTGGGGTTGGAGCCACGTCACAAAAACTCCGAGTGTTTTGGCGTGCTTTGCCTCCACCGCGCTCTCCCCACCTTGCCTGGCACTTTCGGCGACTTGCCTATCTTAGACCCTGAACCGCTCCGCCAAACAGCCTCTCGGTGGAAAGATATAAGAATTCCCCCAACCCCACCACCCTCGACTCCTCCCACCAACCAATCCTCTCTCTACCCCGCATTGATATTTCGTCAAGCCGTATAAAGATGTCTTCTAGCATCGCCATTCGTTCTCAACCCGCGCCCAGCACCGCGGCGTCGGTGTATGGGACCACGCCGGGAGGTACGCCGAGGATCTCGTACTCGCGCGATGAGCTGCTCAGTCTCGCCGCTAGCCCGCTCTCGCGCTCCCCGCCTGCTGTTCAACTTCCTGCTGCTATCAAGAGACACACACCCGCCCAACCACACCCACAACCACAGCCATCGCCAAAGGAAGAAGATCCCGATTCGTCGCTCGAATCCCACGCCACAGACGAGCTCGGATTCCAACTCGAACTGTAATCCTCCCTATCAACGTCAATCAATCGCGATTCCCTTCTCCTGGTCTCCCCAATGCAATCCTCGGTCTGTTCCCCGAAGCAAAGCTGTTAAAATTCTGGTCCTGTCACATGCGCAAATCCTTCCTCCAATGCAAATGCCTGTTGTGTCTCTTGGGTTGCAGGTGTGACTGCATTCGTGTATGTGATCATGATCATTTGGTCTAATCGCGTTTAGATGTACGGAGGGCCAAGAGCGGTTCGGAACTGCTGCAGCACGACCTCCACGACCAGCAACAGGACACCACCACCGGGGGCCAGTCTGAGCACCTTGGGCGTGAAGCCCTTGTAGAGCGCACCGAAACCCTCCTCCTTGGCGATCATGGCCATACTGGGGAAGGTCCAGTTGTACTTTCTCGGCACGCCTTTAACGTTGGGGGTGTTCTGGATCCTGCTCTTGACCACGTCGGCGGGGGTGTTGAGTACGGTGCCGATGGTACCGCCGATAGCGCCGCAGAAGAAATCGTTGCGCAGCTGTTCGCCCTTGCTCTGGGGCTTGGGCATCTGTGCACGCAGCGCGTGGATCACGCTAAAGTATCCGCCGTTCCACAGAACATGCCTCCAGAACGTCGACTCCAAGCCAGCGTAGAGGCCGAGAAGACCATCGGCTTGGATGATCTTGCGAACCACATCCATGGGTCCCGTGTAGAGGTGCGCTTGCGCCTTGTCCTGCAGCCTGATCTTGACCAGCTCGAACGGCACAACCACAATCGACTCGGTGGCTCCGGCAGAGCATCCAGTGAGAACCGAAAGCGACTGCGTCATCTTCTCCTGGCCCGTGAGCGACTTGTATGTCTTGCCCCAAAAATCGTTGGCCGCAAACTTGACCGCACGCTTAGGTGCCTCGAGCATCAGAGGTGGCACCAACCCACGGTACAATCGTCCAGCACTACATTCCCCCCAAGAACCACACAGTCAGCACCATAAAAGATCTGGATTTGGGAGCGAGGAGGTGAAGCTTACCCTTCAGACTTGATGATCTTGCGAAAAGCATCCACCATGCCATTGTATCGCTCCTGACCAGGCAGTTCGGCTTTGCCCTGCAGCTGCATGCGCGTCTTGACCACATCGAGCGGATACAAACACAGCAGCTCGGTGACACCGGCGATGGCACCGGCGGTGAACTGCGCATAGAACGGCAACGGCTTGGGCTGAGTTGTTCCCGACATCTTTGCCGTGATCGAGACTGAGGTACAGATGGAGTTCGGAAGCCAAGGGGCATCGGCAATCTTGCAGACGTGACTCGCCGCGCGGCCGTGAGATCACGGCGGATACCCGAATCCCCAACCGCCCAAGAAGAGATTAAATCCAAGCTTCTCATTCGCTCCCCGGTTTTCCCCACGCTTTTGGACATCCCCCCCGATGCCCTGAAATCGACAACAACCTTCCGCTCACACAGCCAACATTTCTGCAAAACCCCGATCTGCACACCGATGCTGCCCCAACTCCGGTCCGAAGCTTCCGCTCCCAATCCTAACCCCTCACACGCATCTGTGCATCATTTCCCAGCATGACCACTGCAAACAATGCGAAAACTATTGCTTCACTGGTGCGAGCGTGGAGTTACGACGGCCGTGTGGCGTTGACCGACGGCGGGGCAGGTGGGACGCTTCGTTCGGCGGGTGCCTCGCTGGGTCTCTTTACGCCCCTCGCCTCTTGCGGCACATAGGCATGGTTGACCAGCTCGCCCATCGCTCTGCCCGCCTCGCGCGACACTGTGCCCTCGACGCCCACGCCCGCACCCAACGCACTAGCGAACCTCCTCGGCCCACCTGCCGCTGCTGCACGACCCGCCGACGATGCAGCAGACAAGCTCGTTGCTCCATTGCGCATTCTTGGTGCGGGGGCGGGGGGAGGCGAGACGAACCGCCCCACACTCCCCGCGCGCCGCGGCAGCACCGCATCCGTCTTGACCTGCTTGACCGGACTCGTCGACCTGCGCATCTCCACCTCGCGCGCCTTTTCCAGCTTGATCGTCACCGTACTCTGCTCGGCCGCAAACGCCACGCCGCTATCATCAGCACCGATGAAGGAAGAGTCGTCGGATCGACGCGGCTGGTCGATCTGCATCTCGAGCGCGTGCGACGCGGCTTCGGCATCGGCCAGTGCTGATTCGTCGTACGCGAGCTCGTCCAGCAGATTGTCGTCGAACGAGTCGGAGCTCGGCGCGATCTCGGCGCGCGGCGCGGCAGGCGTGGCGTGCTTGCGTGCTTCCGCCTGTTGGCGCTCGAGGTACGCCTGGCGCGCGAGCATGGACCGCTGCTGACGCTCCGACACCGCATCTTTCGATGCGTCGTCCATGGCGTTCTCTGCGACAACCACGACAGGACGTACAGCAGCAGGCGCCGCGGCAGCTGTGCAAGCCTCCGCCGCGCCGTTGGTGGTGGATGCAGCGCGCTCGGCGGTGGTGTTTGTTGCCGACGCAGGTGCCGGAGCAGGCGGAAGCTTTCTCGGCGGTTGCTCAGTCTGCACGTGCGGCTGTGGTGGCTGCGGCTGCGGTGGAGGCGGAGGCCTAAGTTCCGGGCGACGATGCAGCTCTGCCGGATCGAACTTGGGCGGTGGATTCGTAACCTTGAGTGCATGGGTCGAGTACTGATGGTCGTAGGTGCAATTGCCCAGCAACTTGCCAAAGTTCTTGAGTGCTCGTTTGGTCGCATCGGTCACCGCCTCCTTCTTTCCCTTCTCAATCGCTGCGTGTTTCTGGCGCGCGTTATCCGCGCTGCCGTACCCGACATCTTCGTGGAACGCGCCATCGCGCAGCGTGACACGCACGATACACGTAACGCCTGCATTCCAGCGCATGCCGTCGGGCGAGTCCAAAAAGTCGATCTCGAGCTTCTGGATGGTGGTAGCCCATCCATTGAAGCCAAACACCTCGTTGGCCAGGTCGACGAGCTTCCAGCCTTCGATGTACGTGAGCTTCTTGCTTCCCCCCGGCCCAGGGCGTTGCGAGAGGTACTCGGGCCCCAGACGCTGGTTGAGCTTGGCCTGGAGCGTGGCGACGCGCGAGGCGCTGTCCTGCGTCAGCCCACCCACACCGCTGAACGTCTGTGCGCCCCAGCCGCCCGGGTAGTCGTAGTCGGTCAGCCTGCGTGGCTGGTAGCTGGGCGCGCCATCGTCGGTGGCGTGGCCAGCTTGGGCGTCTGCAAAGCTGGTCATGGTGTTGCTCCCGAAGTTAGCCGCACTCGCCCCGCCAAACGGACCGGCTGCCGGAGCACCGAAGGGGAACTCGGACGGATAGCGTGGCGGTGGTGGGAGCGAAGCTTCTTGCTCCTTTTCAAACTCGGCGATGAGTTTGGCCGAGTGGATGGCGGCCGAATTCATGGGCGAGGTAAGGCTAGGATGCTGGCATCGAGGTGGTGGTGGTCGAGGCGGTGTTGGTGGTATTGGGCAGAATGTATGAAGGTGGTGGAGGCGTTGCTTGCTCGAACTCAGCCACGCTGTTGGAGGGTGTATGCGGAGCCGAGCTGGACCCTCGCTTGAGGCTGCGGCTGGCAGGGCTGAGGCTGCGCTGCGCTGCGCTGCGCTGAGCTGAGCTGAGCGTAGGATTGAGCAAATTTGGCTGCGTGTGCCTGCGTTGCGCGTTGGGAGTGACGAGTCGCGACGGACGCGTAAATGGGCGCAGTGCACGTGATTTGGGAGAAGCGCTCGAAGGGCCTAACACTGCTCAACTTTTGCCACTTGACGGGCGGGGCGGTGTGAAGGGGAGTGAGGGAGTCTCAAGTGACTCGGGCTGAGACTGTGGCCACAACGCCCCGTCGGACGCAGGCCGCCCCTATCTGTCGAACAGAGCCGCGCGAGGATCAAGCCGGACGAGCCATTTTGGGAGGGATGTGTGTGTGGTGCCTGCATGGCGCGTTGACACGAGCAGCCGCGCACCCTCGCAACCAGAGTGTCGGAATGCGCTGTCCTTTTTCCATTTCTTTTAAACGAGAGCTTGATTGCACCGGTCGTGGGAAGCGCGCGCCAAAACCGCCAGAAAAGCGGGGGAGGAGGGGGGGGGGGGGATTCTATTGTCCGAGCGGCAAAGAAAGTGCAAGGAGAGAGAGAGAGAAGGGGCAAGGAGGCCAGCTAGCCAGCCAGCAAGCCAGCAGGCAAGGTCTGACGTGGCGCGTGCTGCAACTGCAATTCCGAAAAAGAGACCCACTCCGACGCAAAGAGCCGGTTTGATCGCCCACTTTCGAGTCTCGCTTGGAGGCGAGGGCGTGTCTCGCGTGCCGCAGTTTGTGCCGTGCCTTCACCAGCCTCTCCCCACCCCTACGACTCGTGACCAGCGCACAGAGAGAGAGAGAGAGAGAGATGAAACAGACAATGCGGCCTCGAGCTGCAATACGAGAGGCACGCACAGCCCAAGCACTGCACTGCACTGCACTGCAAAACAGAGATGCGCGGTGCAGACAGCTGCAGCCCAAGCGCAGCCAGGCGCTTCCAATCCGCGCGTGTGCATTCGTACTGAGGACCTCCTTGCGTGTTGCTCTCCATTTCACGCTGTTGCTTGCTGCTCTCGCATGGCTCGCCGAGCCTGCTTCGGCGATGCACCCCAAACGGGCTGCCCTGTTTTTGAGTCTCCGATTCGACGCCCTTTTTTGGCGGCGGCGGCGCCGGCGCGCAATCTCTCTTTTTTTATTTTTGCAGGATTCGACTCGATTCGGCTTTGACACGACGCACACACGCACACACGCACGCACGCACGCCCACCGCCGCCCATCCAACGCCCCGTCCGTCTTTGCGCTGTCCTTTGAACTGGACTTTTTGGGATTGCGATTTTCTTGGAACGCCTGCCACAGCCGCACGCAGCAACAGCGCACGCACACGCCGCACAGCACACTCGCACTCGCACACGCACACACGCGTCCCACGCTCCAAAGCGAGCGAGTGTGGGACGCTTGCGACTGCGTGTTGCGTGTTGGCCGTCTCGCACACCTCCGCTCCGGCCCCTGCTTTGCCCCTTCGTTTCTCCTCCTCCTCGTCCGCCAACTCATCGAATGGCTCACACTCCCATCCTCGCCCTTACGCCTCGACGTCTCCTTGCACTGGCCTGCGTGTGCACATCCCCCCCC